ACTCATGCTCTTTCTTCCCAAAGACTTGTACCTAATTTATACTCAGGTTCGCCAATCTCTACAAGTTAAGAATAAGTTCCTCAGTTTCATCATATAATGATTTTTTTAAAGACAGTTTTATGTTCATGAATTTAAAATAATTTTAAATAAGCACTTAAGATACAAATAGAGATTAACCAGGACAGTTAATCTGGTCTCTGGCCAGTGTTCAGAGGAAGTCTGAGCTTCTACTACCATGACTACAAAATTCTGGCTCAGTTCCTTGGCAGACTGGTCTATCCAGTTGTTGGTCACTCAAAAATGAGCTCTCCTTCTAACCCAGGAGACTTCAGGTAAAAGCAGAGATGAGATGTCTTGGTGTATTAGGTGCAATGTAATACAACCTAAACAATAAATACTGGCTTTTTGTTGTTTTCTGACACCGCTCTTTATCTCTCCACTCACATGACAAAGAAAAGAAAAGTAGTAAGAGCCAAGAAATGTGAAAGAGACCAAAGAGCATGCAGTTAGAATTCCAATTTAGCCTAATGATGCCAACTAGGATTCAGGAAAAATAGTTCTAGGATCCCAGTAATATCAACATGTAGTTTATACTACAATACTTCCTAAGTATTTCCTTACTTAAATATTAAGCCAGAAATGTTTGTAAATATGTACACATACTAGCCATAAGTAACAACAGAGAGACTACCCTCTCATTTTGAAAATGTTCCTCTTTCTTTTCTTATTGATTTTTTTTAATGAACATACCTTATTTTTTCTTAAAATATAGTTGGCATACAAAATTAGTGTCAGGTGTACAAAACAGTGATTCAACATTTATCTGTACATCTTATGAAGTGATCTCCACTTTAAGTCTAGTAACCATCAATCAATGTGCAATGTTCTTACAATATTGTTGACTATATTCCCTATGTTGTACATTATATGCCTGGATCTATTTATTTTTTAACTGAAAGTTTGTGCTTTTTTTTTTTTCTTTTCTTTTTTCTTTGAGAGGAAGGGATATATATAGAGAGAGAGATCCCTTGCCTCTATAAGCGCCCCCACAGAGAATCAAACCCGCAAACTGGGCATGTACCCTGACTGGGAACTGAAACCCGCCACCTTTTGGTTTACAGAACAACACTCCAAGAAACTGAGACACACCGGTCAGTGTGAAAATGTTCCCCTTTCAACGTGATTCTATCTTGTTTGATTGATACTGTCAGATATACATATAAAAAGAAAAATAATAGTCCAAGCAATGCAGCAGAGTATAAACTAAATGACCAAATTTCTCCATTTCTCCAATCCTTCAAATTCCTTCCCCCATGCCAAAGCAATTATTATTAACAGGTGGTGGTTGTTGTTTGAGGGGAGGGGGACGGCGGTATTCATAGATAAACGCTCCGCTTATATATAAGCATGGATACAGCATTTCTAATGCTTTTTTTACATAAAGAATATCATACTTAGAGTGATTTAAAACTTGCTTTTTTCACCAATATCTCCTTCATCTTCCTACATCAGCCTATGTAAGATTACCTTAGCTTTGTTAATGGCTTCACCACAACTCTCTGCATGTGAGAATGTACTATGACTTATTTTAGCCAGTCCACCATTAAAGGACATTCAGTTTGTTTCTTTTGGTCTTATTTTGTTTGGCAATTTTACACAATGCCGTCATGAATATCCTTGTTCACTCAGCTGTGAATACTTAATGCTAATATACCTTTAAGGAAAATTCTTTTTTCCTTTTTTTTAAATATATTTTATTGATTTTTTACATAGAGGAAGAGAGAGGAATAGAGAGTTAGAAACATAGATGAGAGAGAATCATCGATCAGCTGCCTCTTGCACACACCCTTACTAGGGATGTGCCCACAACCAAGGTACATGCCCTTGACCAGAATAGAACCTGGGACCTTTCAGTCCGCAGGTAGACGGTCTATCCATTGAGTCAAACTGGTTTCAGCTACGGAAAATTCTTTAATGTAAAATTCAAATGATATATGTACTTGACATTTTAAAAGACAGTGCCAGACTACACTCCAAAATCGTTAAATAAGTTTACATTTCTACTAGCCACATTTGAGTGTCCCACATCTCCAATGCTTGGTGTTATCAAGCTCTTTATAATTACAAACCTAACAGTTGTTTTAAAATGGTATCTCATTGCTTTAATTTGCATATTTTTTTACTCACAAGTGAGACTAAGAATCTTTCCAAATTTTTATTGGTTGCTTTTTCTATTTTTTCCCCCTCCCTATAAATGGCATGCTCCAATTTTGCCAATTTTTATATTAGGTTAATATTTCTTCTTACTGACATTAACATTTTTTTATGTTTAGGAAACTTGTCCTTCACATGTATGTTAAAAATATACCTACCAGATTATGTCTATTAATTTTATTTAAATGATTTTTTGGCCATATGTAATTTTAAAATTTTATAAAGTCAAATTTGTTCATATCTTTATGTTTTCTGGATTTTGTTCATTGCTTAGAAATCATTTTCCCATATCCAAGATAATAAATGTATGACCTTGTGAATGCTTATTAACAGTCCCACTGACAATCTAGAATTTGTATTTGGGTTACAGAAAAAGGTAGGAAATTCAGTTTTGTTTCTTTTTCCCTTAATTAGCCAGCCAGTTTTCCAAGACCATTTATTAAATAATCCACCTATTCTACCTACGGATGTTAAACAGTATCATGATTACTACACAGGCATAAATGAATTCTCTCCTTTGTTCTATTACTTTTCTACCTATCCCTACGTGGGTTCGAATTCTTTACTACTCTAATACACCTATTACTTCTATTACATCTTTACTACTCTAATACATCTCTTTGGAGTCTGCCCAGCCATTCATCAGCTGTGAAAAGAGCTGTCAACATCTGTTGGGTACTATATGCTAAGCTTACTGAATAAGCTTACTTTAATAATCACAAGCAACCCCCCACCCCAAAAAATATTACAACTTAGGTGGTATCGTTATTTTCATTTTACAAACAAGAAAAGTAAGACTCAGAGGTTAAACAACTTGTACAAGACCACAACTAATAAGCAAAGTAGCTGAGATTTTTATCTGCAATTTGAGTTCATTCTACACTTTGAATCATAGTATATATTAAAAACAAAGTGTGTCTGTCATTATTTCAACTGTCCTCCTCAACTGAATTTTAGATATCTTCAGTTAGGTGTATCATCACCATTTTTATTGGTTTCACAGCTTTCCTTCTTTTACTATACTTAGGGACAGTTTAACTATCATAAAAATTAACTTATCCTTTAAGATTAAAAGAATTCACCTGTGCCCGACCAGCATAGCCCAGTGGTTTAAGAACCAGGTCACAGTTCGGTTCCAGGTCAGGGCACATGCCCGGGGTTGTGGGCTTGATCCCAAGTGCAGGAGGTAGTTGATCAATGATTCATATTCTTTTTCTCTCTCTCTCTCTCTCTCTCCCTCCCTCTCTCTCTCTCTCTCTCCTTCCCTCCCTCCCTCCCTCCCTCCCTCCCTCCCTTCCCTTTCTCCCTCCCTTCCCTTTCTCCCTCCCTCTGAAATCAATAAAAATATATATATTTTTTTTTAAATTCACCTGTGAAACTACCTGGACTTAGTACTTTATTTTTTTACACCCAATTTCTTCTTCCACAGCTAGTGTTTTGACTGTTTGGCTTCTCTCTTCTCTGGGGTCAATTTTGTTAATTTATATTCTTCTATTAAATCACTCAGATTTATTTTATATGGTACTGAGTAATTTCCTCACTTGCATACAAAGCTACAATAATTTTGTCTTACTAAATAAAAAATATGAGCAAATATATAAACCAACATTATTGGAAAACACAGCAAGAATGAATTAAATGTATAAAACTTGGAGCAAATTACTGGTATACCATTTTTTATTCAGAACATGAGTGTTTTGGGGGAGGGAACCCTTTAAATAGGGCTTTTTAAGTAGTGAAGTGCAGCTAGGGTGCTCATACTCAAAGAACTAAGTAAAAGAGAAATGAAATCAACACTATGAACTTTTAAAATAATACTTTTAGAATGTTTAAAAAATGTTTCTTGCTACAAAGGTACAGAATGGTTTTCAGTAACATAGTATATGTATTAAATATTTATAAAATGTTACTGAAATAAAACAGTAAAGTTGTTTGCAATGCTCTAACTGTTATTACTCCAGTCATCTAATCTCTAAAAGTAGGATAAATATCAAAGAAGAAAGTGGCACTCCTCTCTCTAATCCTATGTAATAAAAGCCTAATATGCTAAGTGTCCAGTCGTCTGATCAACAAATCAACCAATCAAAGCATAATATGCTAATGATATGCTAAGGACGCTCAATCACTCACTATGACATGCACTGATCACGGGGGGGGGGCGCGGCAGTCAACCGGTCAACCAGTCGCTATGACGTGCCCTGACCACCAGGGGTCAGATGCTCCAACGGGTAGATAAGCTTGCTACTGGGGTCCGCCAGATTGGGAATGAGCAAAATGGAATAGACACATCCTGGAGTGCTCCCGTGGTCCCTCCCCAGCTAGCCAACCTCCCACGTCTCTCCCCCGCCCCAATCATGCGGCCTGGCCTACATGGATCGGGCTGAAACCAGCAGTTCGACATCCCCTGAGGGGTCCAGTTTTGTAAGAGGACACAGGCATTTCAAATTGAGTATCATTTCCCTTCCTATAAGTACAGAGATTAAAGTCTAGAAAGGCTCTGAAACTATAGCTTTGAAAAGAAGCTGAGAAAAAGCCAAAAGAAACTCCCTTTCTACACCATTTAATTAAACAAGAAACGGGATATTAAAATTCAGAAATGAATGAAGTATCATTGTAAAAACAAGCTCACTTTGGAAAACGTTACTCATCCAAAGGATTCTCTACCTTAATATTATGTTAACAAATAAGCAACAAAAAGTTAATATTCATATTCTTCTTCTTTGAAAAATTTTATCTATTAACACTACCAAGAAAGTTGCAACTGCTCTAACAAGGTACACACCTACCTGTGCACATGATTCTTCAGGTGTTTTGGCACTAACTGAATAAAGTGCTGGGAGATCTAGTCTGTGCACAGAGAATTTTTCTAGAGTGTGCAAAAGCGCTGGAGCAAGGTGAGAAGTTTGACCTGAGCCTCGTTCTCCAGACAGCAATAATCTTGGCCTGTAAGAGGTTGGCTGATGATATGGTGACCTGCAATACATGTAAGACATAATAATTATTTTGAAACCATATACTCTGAAGATCAATATGAAATATTAGGCAATATATTTACATTAAAAGAATATAACTCCAAATTAATAGAACTTCCCTATCTTTCTTATTTTTTAAGTAAAGTGAATCATTTTTCATTAATTAGTTTTAAAACGTTGATCTCTCTGACCATTATAATAACCAAGAGGTAAAAGTATAAAAACCCCTTCTAAAAAAAGTAAAAGTATATTAACTTGGAAAGTGTTTCAGACACAATGTGTGATTTAGTTATTATCGATCCATGGTCAAATGTTAAGAATCCCACTTCAGCCAAAACCGGTTTGGCTCAATGGATAGAGCGTCGGCTTGGGGCCTGAAAGGTCCCGGGTTCGATTCCGGTCAAGGGCATGTACCTTGGTTGCGGGCACATCTCCAGTAGGGAGTGTGCAAGAGGCAGCTGATCGATGACTCTCTCTCATCGATGTTTCTAACTCCCTATCTCTCTTTCTTCCTCTCTGTACAAAATCAATAAAATATATTTAAAAAAAAAAAAAAAAAAAGAATCCCACTTCAACAAGGAGGTACATCTGAAGATTACCCAAAATACAGGACTTTTTTTTAATGGTTAAAATATTAAATTGTATGTACTTTTAACCACAATTTTTTAAATGGGGGGGGGGGGGAGAAGTAGGACTTTTTCTGTGGCTGCAAATTTTGTTTCTAGGCTAATAGAAACTGTTTTTACCCTCAAATATGACATCTAAAGCCCTACACTAGAGAAGGTAGGTTTACGTAAATATATTAATGAAATTGAAATAAATAAAACAAATTCATATACAATCACTATAAATTCTAAATATATAAATATATAAATTCTAAGAAATGCAATAAACAAACAACTAATGGGAAGAAATAGAGAAAACACTGTTACTTGAAAAGGATTATTATGTACTAGAAAATCCAAGAGAATCATCTAATAGTTTTCATATTCTACCAGCAAAGGATTAAGATAAAAGATGGAAACAGAAAGGCAAAAAGATTTCCTAAATACCATCAAGAACCAATATAAAAAAAAAAGAAATAAGATCCTATTTATAACTGCAAAAACACAAATGGCAAAACAAATAATATTATTAAAAAGGAAGAAACAATATAGAATACATCATGAGTCTGGTTTTATAAAGATGTCAATACATATGTGTGTATGTATTTTATTGTATTTTATTTTATACATTTAAAAATTCTAATCAAAATCCCAAAAGAATTTGAGAGAGGGAGATTTCAAGCTTATTTACCACATTATCTGAAAAAAATAATCAAGAAATTTTTGAAAAAAGACGTTAGGTCCAATTTTACATTTAAACCTGTTTTAGTAACAAACACTTCATACAAATTTATCATTTAACTTTCTTAACAATTCTGTGAAATACATAAGTTTCCATCTATTAAATAGATGAAGAAACCAAAGTTCAGAGAGGTTAGGTATAAGATTGTACAACACAGTGGTGACAGATTTCAAATTCTCATTCAGGCCCATATAAATGCAAAGGCTCCCAAACACTATGTTAAGATGTGCCCTACTTTATACTGAAACATATTACAGAACATAATAACAAAACAGAATGTAAACTACACCAAGGAAAAGTAACACAGATCAGTGGAAGATAATAGGCAACCCAAGAAACAAATCATAGTAACTGAAAGAATTTTACGTTAAGATGAGGCATAAAAAAATTAATGGGACAGGGGTGAATTGCAAAATAAATGTTTAAAATAAGGAGGATTCAAATTCTCATTTAAAGGAATAAATAAAATGAATTCTCACAGAAAAACAACTAAGAAAAACCAAAAGATACATTTATCTATTTCATACAAATTTTTAAACTTTTATAATTCAAAAATTACAACCTGAACCAAATGGCAAACAACCAAATAAGACCAAAAATTTGCCATTAACAAAAATGGTTCTCAATGCATAAAGAGAGGATGTGCATAGAGTTAATAAAGAATGCTTTTTGCCAAAACCGGTTTGGCTCAGTAGACAGAGCGTCAGCCTGCATGGGGGGTCCCAGGTTCGATTCCGGTCAAGGGCATGTACATTGGTTGCAGGCACATCCCCAGTAGGGGGCGTGCAGGAGGCAGCTGATCGATGATTCTCTCTCATCGATGTTTCTAACTCTCTATCCCTCTCCTTTCATCTCTGTAAAAAAAAAAAATATCAACAAATGACAAGTGTCGGCGAGGATGTGGAGAAAAAGGAACACTCGTGCACTGCTGGCGAGAATGCAAACTGGTGCAGCCACTGTGGAAGACAGTACGGAGTTTCCTCAAAAAATGAAAATGGAACTCCCATTTGAACCAGTAATTCCACTCCTAGGAATATATCCTAAGAAACTAGAAACACCAGTCAGAAAGGATATATGCACCCCTATGTTCATAGCAGCACAATTTACAATAGCTAAGATTTGGAAACAGCCTAGGTGCCAGCCAGCAGATGATTGGATCAGAAAACTATGGTACATCTACACAATGGAATACTATGCTGCCATAAAAAAGAAGGAATTCTTATCATTTGCAGCAACCTGGATGGAATTGGAGAACATTATGCTGAGTGAAATAAGCCAGTCAATGAAAAAAACAACCACCACATGATCTAACTCATTATGGATAATAAAGAACATTATAAACTGATGAACAAAAAGATAGATACAGAGACTGTAAAGCAACAGACTATCAAATTATAGCAGGAAGGGTAGGAAGATATGGGAGAGATAAGAGGTCAACCGAAGGACTTGTATGCATACATATAAGCATAACCAATGGACACAAAACTCTGGGGGGTGAGGGCATGTATGGGAGTGGGGGAGGGGGGGAACAAGGGTAAGATATGTACACATATACGTTAATTTAAAAAATAAAATAAAAAATAAAATATATTTTTTTTAAAGAATACTTTCATGGGCACAGAATATAAGCAGATCATTCAAAAAAGATGCAAATAGATAATATGTTTTAAATGTTCATTCATTTAACACTTGGAGAATGCTTCCTATGCTGAATGTGTTGGCCCTACACATTCCAATAATACTACTGTTATCACAGAGCTCATAACTGAACAGTACTTAGTGAAAAAGTGATATACATAAATTATTATAATACAGTGTGCTTAACAAGCAGCACTGTTTAAGACTCATAGAGAGACCCCAATTAAAGATGCAGAGAAGGCTTTTCTGGAAAAGCGTTACCAAAGCACAAGCCCAACAGACAGGAGGCAGAAAAGATGAACACCGAGAGAGAACAACAGGATGTGCAAAGGACCAGAGGCTAAAAAGGCCTTGGCCCTTTGAGCTAATGAATACAGTTCATACAGCACCTTCTCTTATGGTTTAGGGCAATGCAGGTGTAAACGTACTGGGGGATGGGAAGCTTAGGAAAGGGAAGTGAAAAGGAGAAATGCTATGAAGGGTTTTGAAAACCACGTGATAAGTTTGGAATGTTCACTGAAGACATGGAGAAAGCATTAAGATACTTAAGCAGGGGAAGTGACATAATCTCACACACGATTTTGGAAGATGACTTTAGCCCAGAATGTCAGTATAGGAAAGGATTTTTAAAGAAGGCAAAACAGGAGGAATTATGGCCTGTTAGTGGTTTGCTATAATAACCGAGCATGAGATCTTAATGACAGTCTAGACAAGAATAGTGTTAGAGAGGTGAGAAAGGACACCCTAAGATGAGACTTATTTGGTCAGAACTTTGTCCGTGCCTAGATACAGAAGGAAAGAGGAGGAAGCTGGAAATGACATCCAATTCTAGTTGGACAACTAAACAAGCGGTAGCTCACAGGGCTGGAAGGAAGAGACAGGGAGACATAGCCCAGTGTGTACTAAAAGACCCATGGCCCAGCTCGGAGGGGTAGCTCAGTTAGTGTCATACGGATACAAGGATGCAGGTTCAATCCGAGAAACAACCAATGAATGCATAAATAAGTGGAACAACAAATCAATGTCTCTCTCTCTTTCCCCTTCCTCTCTCTCAAATCAATAAGTGAAATTAAATATCTATGGCACAAGAAAGGAAGACAAGCAGCTGGAAAGGGTCTAAGGGTTAAGGGTGATCTAGCTTTGAGAAAGACGTAGTGGTTATTAATAGGTGAAAACATAAATAATGAAAAACAGCTTTAACTGTTAATCAGATGAAGAAACCAAGGCTGAGAGAGTTGGAGTGGGAAAAAGTGCAATTTCCCAAAATTCAGTTTGGCAAGTATGGTAACTTCTCTCACTCCCAAAAAACGCCCTTACCTCATAGCATTCTCCATATTTTTTCATAGTATTTATCTTCTAACATTTTATTCATCTATTACACTTATTGTTCATCTGTCTCCATTTAAAATGTAAGCTGAATGAGAGCAAGGATTATAGTCCATTTTGCTCACGGACATATTCTAGGACAGCATGTAACACATGATGGGCACTCTGAATGAATTAATGAGTGAATGAATGATTCAAATAAACAAGATGTTATTTCGTCTATTTGGTTGACAAAGATTTAAAAAGGCAAATTGTACTCAAAATTAATAAGGATATAGGGAAAATACCATTAGTGTTAAAAATAAAATTGGTACTATCTTTCTGGAAGCAACTTAACAACTTGTATCATGTTTTTAAATATATACACCCTTTTAAACAGCGATCATAGTTTTTAAAATTTACCCTAAGTTCTGAATCAGATAATGGTACAAAGATGTATACTTAGAAATTTGACTACCACAGCACTATTTATAAAAGTGGAAAATTGGAAACTTTAATTTTTACCAGTAAGGTTATATAAACTAAGGAACACCTAAAAATAAAGTACTATGCAGCTATTTTAAAAGAATGGCATTAAATATACTGACATGAAATAACATTCCCAACATAATGGATAAAACAGCAAGATATATTAAAAACCTTACAGGGAGGATATAGACTAGAGAGAATATTATGTGGGTCTGTCTATATGCACAGCAAGGGCGGTCACCAATACTAACAAATATTACCTGCAGATGCCTGGGCTTTAATTTTTACCTTCTTCTTTATGCTCTTCTTTATTACTTGAATTTTCTACAGAGTATATCCTCTTTCTAATTAGAAAAAACAAAGCTATTTTCATTTGGGAAACCTCAGAAAGCTGTGTTTCTCATCCCCTTATGACAAAATATTGTAAGAAAATAAACTTATTTTTCATCATAAGGGTTTTCTACCAGATTGACAGACCTTAAATATCTTTACTTACGTTTCATCTTAAACCTAAGTTAAAGGTTTCAACATTGTTTTAGGAAACTATTCCAGCGATGCTCAAACTAATGTTAATTGGAGACCAGAATTGAAGTCATCTTTCTATGTCTAGCACCTTGTTTTTATTGGCCTGGCATGCTAATCCACGTAGTTCAAACATCTATAACAAGATAAAAAAGCTTATTCTAGAATATATAGCTGTCTCACTATTAAAGCTAAATTAGAACTAGAAAAGCTTAAAGGAAGCTAAAATTAAACCAATTTCAAAAAGGCTAAACTAGCCCTAGCTGGTTTTGGCTTAGTAGACAGAGCATTGGGTTGTGTACTGAAAGGTCCCAGGTTCAATTCCAGGCAATGGCACACGACCGGGTTGTGGACTTGATCCTCAATGTGGGGCATGCCGGAGGCAGCCGATTAATGATTCTCTCTCAACATTTATGTTTCTCTCTCTCTCTCCCTCTCCCTTCCTTTCTGAAATCAATTTTAAAAATTATTTAAAAAATTATCATATCAAAATCTATTTCTGTATCACTTTACTGATAATAGAACTATCTTATACAATTGGAACACAAAATTTTTTGACAGTTTCTTAGCTCTGCTATCATGTATTTCAAATCCAAATAACTAAAATTGTCAAAACAATTTACACACACACACACACACACACACATACATACACACAGGCTAGCTAAGTGGGGTAGAGGAGGACTGTTTGGCTTTCCCTTAGCCATGAATAAAGCAGATCTGTACAATTAATGAAATAGTCTAAGAAAACGTCCCTGAGGGCATACAAGTAATGACCCAAGAGTAAAAGAAAAAAAGTTTCTAATAGAAGAGCTTGCTATTAAAAGAAAATAAGAGTAAATGAAGGTAATTTATTCTCATTTTTTAAAATGCAAAACAAGCAAGAGTTATCAATGCAAGTAATTAAAATAACATTTTACCAAAATCCAAATGGAAGAAACTTCAATTCAAGTTGAAGACTTAGATTTGTTCAAAATATATCAAAAGGAAAACTACATCTTCCAAAAAAAGTGCGATTAGACTTACCTGAATGGAGCATTATGGTCCTTTAACTCTCATAATAATTATGTAAATGTAAGTGATGATGCTATTAGTATTTGAAACTATTTGGTCCCTTAATTTCAAATTAGATTAGCACTAATATTGTTTACCCATTAAAGTGCACAGCAAAAGCTGCTTTAATATAAAGGTGAATATAAATAGAAATCTAAATTAAAAAAGTATAAACTAATGTTATTTTGGAGAATTGAAAAGTTACTTGTTTAATTACTGAGCAATTTCTAATTCAAAATCTTTTTAATACCCTAGAGTCCCTAAATTATCATCTGAAACTTACATAAATTAAAATATCATAACCATGGTAAATAATTCACTTCTGTTCATTTAGTTGAAATAAAAAGCAATAAAATTAGGAACATGAGTTGATTTTCTAAAGATAACCTTTCCTTCCACTTTGGTTTAAATAAAAGTCATAAACTGTTTAGAAAAAAGTTTTTACAATTAACCAATAAACCAATTTAGTACCACACAAAAACAATATACAGAGTAAGTATACCAGAACTGTGTCCAAACAACAGAAAATCAAAGTCCTCAAGGGTATAACCATAAGTAAAAATATACCATAATTCCAACCATACAGTAATAAAAATCATGTTAAATAGAAAGAAATGTGATTTACATTACTTACATTGTAAAATGAAGGTAGGATTTATGTACAGCAGCAGCTGATGACTGTTTCTTTGGTGATCCTGAGTGACAACTGGTCTCAAAAATTGATAGAGCATTCTCATCTTCACTATCATCTAAAACTAGAGTATCTATATCTGTTCAAAAACAAAACAAAACAAACCCACAAGATTGAGGCTTATAAAGTCATTTAATATTAGTGTTCACAAAAGCTAAAAAAAAAATAGGTTTAAAAATCGAATTAACCAGAACCATGAAGACATGGAACAGACTGACACACCTTGGTGTGGATTGGGGGGGACAAGAAAAGATAAAACAAAGAACTTACATACAAAATTCATGCACAAGTAGGGTCCCTAGCCGCTGCCGGCTGCCAGCCAGGGCCTCCCTTCCCCAGGTGCCAGCCCCTGGCTGGGGCCTCCTTTTGCTAGCCGCTGGCAGCCAGCCAGAGCCTCCCTTTGTTCCACGCCACCCCCTTGTGGTCAATGCATGTCATAGCAAATGATTGAACTTCCAGTCAGTTGAACTCACGAGGGGACACATTGCATATTAGGCTCTTATATATAGATATGCATAGCCATATGACACAATCAATAGGGTAGTGAAGACCTGGGAGAAGGGGAGAAAGGGTTGGGAGGAGGGGTAAAGGGGAAGGAAATAGGAGATATCTGTAATACTATCAACAATAAAAAATATTTTAAAAAATGACATTAACTAATAAGTTATCAAATAATATCAATTGAGCAGGCTAATTGACAAACTGCACTATTCTGAATAATTTATAAGTGAAATAATGTAATTCTTTCACCTTTACAGACTATTCAAGTGTTGTAAGATATAATTTAGGAGTCTTCATTGACTACAAGAAGACTGAGATGAAACAGCACTCACATAAAATACCCATCCTATTTGTTAAAAATCCAAAAGGTTGGCGACCACTGGTCTAAAGTATTACAAATAGTAGTACATATGTCTCCTTTTCCCCCAGTGACCTTCCCCTTGCCTCCCCCAACCCCCGGCACTTGCCCTCACCCCAGAGTCTGTGTCCATTGGTTGTGCTTATATGCATACATACAAGTCCTTTGGCTGATCTCTTATCGCCCCCCAACCCTCCCCTGTCTTCCCGCTGAAGTTAACAGTCTGTTCGATGCTTCTTTGTCTTTGTATCTATTTTTGTTCATTAGACTATGATGTTCTTTATATTCCACAAATGGGTGAGATCATGTAATATTTATCTCTGAGTTAATTTTGATGAAAGCCAGTACATCTCATCTAAGATATTTGGTATAAAATAGAGCACTTGACCCAGAACCAACACACCTAGTGGTTGGCTTCAGACCACATCAGAGCACGACCCAATTAGTCCCTCAAACAGCACACTTCCCAGGGTGACTTCAGTGGGCACCAGAACCTATTGGAGCAAATTCTGCTTCGTGTGGTCAGCACCTGCACAGAGCTCTACACTGTGGTGGGGGTCCCTCCTCAGAGTCAGCCAGCCTGCGGGTCAATCCCATCCAGGCATGGGCCAGCAGTAATCAAGACTCAGTTACCATAGAAGGGCTCACATAATCCACACAAGGGATATTCCTGGAGCACCTCGCTCAGGTGATCGAGGACACTGAGCCACTGAGCCACAAAGACACCTATTACACAAAGTAAGACTGGGAGATACAGCAGATCTACCTAATGCACAGAAACAAATACAGAGAGGCAACCAAAATGAAGAAAAAAATAAAAGTGCCCCATATGAAGGAAGAGGAGAAATCCCCAGAAATCTTGAGCTAGAGCCAGTTCTTATAAAAGCAACAAATTAAAACATTTGGGAAGCCGTGGTCAGTGTAGCTCAGTTGGTTGGACATCATGCCATGCACTGAAAAGTTGCTAATTTAATTCCTGGTCAGGACACATGCCCAGGTTGCAGGCTCAATCCCAGGAAGGGGGTGTGCAAGAGGCAGCCGATAGATATTATGCTCCCACATCCATGTTTCTCTCTCCCTCTCCTTTCCTCTCTCTCTATAAGTCAATAAAAATGTTTAAGTTTTAAAAAGTTGGGTGGGAAATACTAGTACATATCCTTAGTTATGAAAGTTAGATAAGAAATGTATTATTTGTGGCAGAATACCTGGCTCAAAGATAATAAAATATTTATTCCCTTCCATATTTAATTAAAGAAACAAAATAATCCATATGACACTTCATGAGAATCCATCCCTAAAAAATAAAGTTCCTGAAAAATAGAGTTAGAACAGCAAAATTCATTTAAATATTAATGGGTTTTACTACATATGATATTTTCAATGTTAGTGTAATTCACTGAACAATTTTCTATTTGATACAGACGACTTGCTAAACAAGATACTATAAACTGGGCCAATGGTGAGCAAAATCATTAGTCAACAGAGCCAAATACCAACAGTACAACGATTGAAATATCTTTTGAGAGCCAAATTTTTTAAACTTAAACTTCTTCTAATGCCACTTCTTCAAAATAGACTTGCCCAGGCCATGGTATTTTGTGGAAGAGCCACACTCAAGAGCCGCATGTGGCTAGTGAGCCACAGTTGGCCGACCATGGAACTGGGGAAATCAAGATAATTAAAACATATTACTTTCACTGAAACCGGTTTGGCTCAGTGGTATAGCATCGGTCTGAGGACTGAAAGGTCCAGGGTTCGATTCCGGTCAAGGGCACGTACCTTGGTTGCGGGCACATACCGGTGGGGGTGTGCAAGAGGCAGCTGGTCGATGTTTCTCTCTCATCGACGTTTCTAGCTCTCTATCTCTCTCCCTTCCTCTCTGTAAAAAATTAATAAAATATATATTTTTAAAAACATATTACTTTCTCTACAAAGTTCATCGGCCTTACTCTGATTAGCTTATGAACTTAAAATTTTCCTGTAAATGAACAGGAAAGGTAGCTTTCTGTTTTTAAAGGTAGCTTTCTATCTTTACCTCAAGTCCAAACTACAATCTTGAGGCTAGAATCCAAGGTATTTTATAACCAACCTAATTCTAGTCTACTTCCTCACTAAAAATTTATACTCCATTAGTACAGTAAACTAGAATGCTCTGCCAATAAAAACACATGATGAATAGAATCCAGAGGGTATTAATAGTACCATAATTAAGAGCATGGATTCTGTAGTCAGAGTCCCTGGGCTTGAGTAAGCCCTAGAACTTACTGAGTGACCCTATGTAAGCAAATACCTTCCTCAATCTTCCAGTTTCCTCATTTATAAAATAAAGAGTACCCTATCCACAGGATTATTATAAGAATTAATAAACGACAATTTGTGTAAGGTCTTTATAATAACAACATAATTGTAAGCCATTATTACTATATAGTCAACTCCTCAAAAGACCATAATACTCCTACATTAAGACAATCAGAATGTCCCAAGAGCAAATAAACAAACATCATGTGTATATTTTTAATAAACATTCACTAGTCAACTACCATATACTAGGCAACATGCCAGGCCAGGAATACACAATTGTGAATAAAAAGGGTATATTTTCTATACTCATGGCAAATATAAAAGAGTAACATATAAATAAATAAGCTTATGAGAAAATTCAAAATTTATTTATTTATGCCTGTACTTGTTTCATTTTAACAATACGAAAAATAATTATAGTACCTTCTTTCTTGTCACTCTGGCTAATTTCAGCATGAGGAAACACTTTTTGCAAGACTGCGAGGATATTGTTGAAGCTTCTTTCTAGCAGTGGCCTTATGATGGGGGACAGTGCATGTCCCGAAGACATGACAGCACGCTGGGAAGCAGGCACAATGTTCTGCATTGCATGGTAAAAATCTTGAGCACTGAGCACTATGGAGGACACATCTAGCTGCAGTTTGTGGCTGCTGGCATAGATCTGGGGGTAACGCCTCCGCAGGGCAATCAGGGCAGCTTCAGTGCACAGGGCCTTGATATCAGCTCCACAATACCCTAATGCACAAAAGGAAAAGGACAACAAAGGTAGGTTTATTCTTCTAAGGCCAACCATGTTTCACAAATATACACATCTTTACCTAAGAAAATAATAAAAAAATCAATAATTATTTGTAATTTTATCAGCAAAATAAAAGTTGACCATTTAAAATCACATAGTTGTTTACTCATTAAGACTAAAATGTTTTGAATATTTATATTAACAAACACATGAACTAACAATATTAAAATAAGGCATGTATTTTGTGCCAATACCACAGATGATAACTGACAACTTTACTTCAAAAGAGGTTTTTAAAAAATATAGTTTCATCTCAAACCTTCATCAATATTCCCAATCTTTAGTTTAGTCTTCATGAAATTAGTTACCTATCAATCTTTTCAATATTACTAATTTCCAAACACATAGAGTAATACAAAACAGCACATAAACAGAAACTTCAAAAACAGAGCTTATTCAACTACCAACTCTGAGTGCAACTGAGAAGTTGATTTCTAATTATCCCAAAAACTATATTTTAAAGTTGTGATCATCTCTGATAGTTCCAAAACATTAAAGGGAATAAAAATGCATTAATTTTTCACATTAACCTCACATATGTTATATATATATATTTTTTTAGCTTAAAATGACTGATGATTTAGTTCTAAGGAATAGACCAACCAGGGTATTATCCATTACCCATATTTAAATGATTTATTATAATTAACAACAGATCAAACCCCCGATGGATGCTTTTAAGTCATTTCATTCATTTAAGCAACAAATACAAAAATACACTATTTCTTAGGTTTTTAACACAAAAATAAAGAAAACTCAAACTAACCATGTTGTTTTTTGTATTAGTAATTAAACTTGCATTTGGACACCTTTATCAATTACACCAGCAGGGGGAGTCACCTCACCTAGCTATACAACATTGGTCTCTCAGCTCTTCAAAGAGTGGTATCAGGTTTATTTATTTTTTTATACCTTACAATGGTCTCACTGAAAACTTAAATACTGAAACAAAAATGGTGGTTAGGAAAACTACCAATGAGGAGAGAAAAAATGGCCCTAGACTAACTGGTAGAAAAAATACATTAAGGGACAAACCTATATAATTCAAACTGCTAGGGCAAATAATTCTGTTAATCAAGTCTTACAAATAATTGGGGGGGGGGGGGGGGGGAAATCCTCTTTATTTTGCTCTCTTCTATCCATAGCACTCACTACTAAATCATTTACCTATTATCTTTACTTCTGTCTTCCCCAACTGCAATGTGAGCTCTGTGAGAGTATGGGTATTTGTTTTGATCACTAAAAATTCTCAAATTCTGAGAATGATGCCTGGCCTGGCATTCAGTAGATATCCAATAAATATTTCTTGAGTAAAAGAATGAATAAAAAGAGAAAAGAGTTAACTCCAGGCTTATATGTAGTTTGGGAAGGTAAAACTCTAAGGTTACTATGTACTACCATAAGAAGTGGAGAAATTATACTTACTGAGTTTTTCTTTTTTTTTTTTTTTAAGAAATCTAAACAATTTTATTATTAAAGCCAACTTAATAATTTCAATGAAAGTTATGAAAAAGCATAGAAAGTATTGCATTCCTAAAGAAACATTTATACAGAGTTTGGGGAAAACTTAATATGACCTATGAGAATTTAATTCAGAAATTTAATTAGAAAATTATAAGCAGATTAAGGATTAACACTGTCCCATGACAGCAATCAATCTCCCAAATAATTCTCCAGAATAACAAAATTTACCATTATTCTCTCATTTTATTTTCTATTTCTCAGTGGAAAAAAAAAAGTATCATTCCCTATGTCATACATATTTGTTAAATTACTTCAACAAAATAACTGTAAAACATTAGCTCATAAATACTTAATGAAATAATCCATTTCTGAGGAAGTAAAGAATAAACTACCCTCTTGAAACAATATAAACAACCACTTTTCTTTTTCTTCTTTAAAAAAGTATATACAGCCGAAACCGGTTTGGCTCAACGGTAGAGCGTCAGTCTGCGGACTGAAAGGTCCCGGGTTCGATTCCAGTCAAGGGCATGTACATTGGTTGCGGGCACATCCCCAGTGGGGGGTGTGCAGGAGGGAGCTGGTCGATGTTTCTCTCTCATCGATGTTTCTAGCTCTCTATCTCTCTCCCTTCCTCTCTGTAAAAAATCAATAAAATATTTAAAAAAAAAAAAAAAAAAAAAGTATATACAGCCCTAGCTGGTTTGGCTCAGTGGATAGAGCGTCAGTCTGCGGACTTAAGGGTCCTACTTTAGAAAAATAGATGATATAATCATTCTAAACACAGTGAAAATATACTAAGCCTTTTGAAAGTTAAAAGATGATATTAAAGGGGGGAAAAACAACATCCTTTTTCATATGAATTCCATAAGCATACTAATTCCACCATTACAATTATAATGCTTTGAAGAACCCAAATATCTAGATATCAAAGAAAAAGCATTTTTTAATACTGGTATTAAGATGGAAATTGGTCTGAAACACTGAAAATAGAAGCTATTCAAAGAGATTATAGACTAGAAATAGGCAATAATAAATTTTAATTTATTTTTTAAGTAAAACATCAAACATAATAAGGCTTGCAAGATAGATGCCTCAATGATACACTTTCACTGTTTTGGCCCTCTTAGTAAAAATGAATAGAGAAATATAATTAGGTTTAAGCTCTTCATTAACCTTAAACTCCTACTATTTGTGTACATGTTCTGCATACTGAATTATTTGAGTACTACTGAAAAAAACATACCTAGTATGCATGCAAACATCTCCAAGTACTTGGGAATTTATTTCAAGGTAAAAGTTACCAAATCCATAACCTCTAAAAAGAGATAAGCTATTTTTGCAGTTGTTCATGAAGTCTTTGTTAAGCATGAACTGAACTCATACTTGTTAAAACATGTTTGGGATACATAAAATGGTAAGTTCATAATGAATTTAAAATTTATTACTATGTCATTCCTGTTTGAAAACCTACATTTGATTTTTTTAATATGAACTGTTTTCACATTAAAATGTCACCACCAATATCATAATAAAAATTATAATGGACTTATATGTCTTTTTCCAAAAGAAAATTATGAATATATATAAGCAGATTCTAAACCACCACCACCCAAAGAAGGCAAGAGAAGTTTTTCAGTCCTATAAGAAATTATGTTTTAAATTTTTTTTAATTTAAGAAACTATCTGAAAATTAAAATTAATCACTTGAAAAAATATGTAGTGGTCTTTAGAAATGAAAAAGGAAACTAAAGATTCTAACATTTAGAATGAAGAATTAGAGTATAATATTTCACTTGGTAGGTAGGGTAATAGAAAGTAATTTAAAAAGTACCTATGTTTTAGGGAGTTGCCAAAATTTTCTGAAGACTTCCTATTTCAGTTAAGGATCACTCTGTGACAAATTCACAGAAGAAACTATAAAAATTCCCCATTCTGACCTGTACTCTAATACAATATCATAAAAATAGCAGTATATAAGAGGGGTCAAATCTCAAAATGGGAAAAGACTGGATTCTGCACCAAATACCACCCTCTCCCATAAAGCAGCATAGGGCTTTGCGAAGGTCAAGCTAAATGTACATGAAATGGACTTGGCACATGCTCTCTGATACCAGGCAAAGCTTAAACTGGAGTAGTGCTGGAGAGATTTACGTTTTCTCCTCACCAGAAGATGTCGAGGTCTTTGAGGTTCAAAAGCTGAGAGATGCTGCTTCGGAGATGGAGGTCCCTGTGGATGAAGAGGATAATTCGGATGTAGCTAACTGAATGGACTAATGCTCTATTTAAGTTTTAATTATTTGATGGTGGATCACAATGATTTTTTTTTTTAAACTAAATTGTTCTTTTTGGTTTTGGTAACTTTAAAGTTTTCCCAAGTAAGCTGTTGATGGTTAGTGGACTTATTTGGGGGATTTCTACATAATGCTTGAAAAGTGCATGGAGAAAGATCTTTTAATACAGATTTTTTAGGAAAGCAGACAAAAGATGGAAAAAGAATAAAGGAAAAATATCTATGTGTATACTTGATTGCTTAAATATGTACTCATTTTATTTCAGACCTGATTAGAGCAAAAACCCCTGAATTCCTTCTCCTTTGTATGGTCATGTATGTATGTAAAACACTCTGACCACATCCTTTTAGGATTGTAGCTGTCATTCATTCTGTGGGAGATCTTCCATTCTGTGAATGACAACATTAAATTGGAAAGTTTTATATTTGGGGAAATACTAGCAGATGCCATCAGTGTGTTCTTTGAAGACTCCTCTCACTCAACTTCATGAAGATGAGTCCATGTAATCTGCAAAGTGAAAGACTACACAGTCCTGCCTTTGACATGAATCTTCATCTGTCAAATTTACACTTACTTTTCTTAGTAAAATTTCTGAGAGGGGACAATTCCTAAAAGAAACACTGTAATAACATTATGGAAAGCCAGCACTCAATGAAAGGAATATTACTACAGAGCTTTGTTAATCAATCACCTAATGGCAGTTAAAATTCTAATTTAGAAGTGTTCAAACTTCAAGTGCAATGTTTAAAATAATTTTTTACATTTAAAGGTAGAACCATGTATTGCACAAAGACATAACTATACTCATTCATATTCCAAATATAAGGGTAAAGGAAGACTGAGTAGAATAAACAATGATAATCAAAGAATTCAAATAGTAGCACTCACCAACACATTTTTCAGCCAATTCACCTAAAAAAGCATCTGACAATTTTGGATTCCAATCCCTGGTATGAATCTGTAATATGTGTTTTCTTGCCTAAAAAGAAAAACACAGTTAAATAAAATATATCAGCCCCTTAAATGCATTTGCTGGAACAAATTTATGGACTAACAATACTCCAGAAAAGTAAATGTTTATTTTTAAAGAATTTAATCATGTTGGCATCCGCATCAACTCTGATTCCCATAAGAACCCTGCAGCACAGGCAGTGAGATCTTGTGTCTATTTCATACACTAAGACATTCCATATTCAGAGAGGTAAGGGAACGTGACAAGCGGCACATATGATTACAATACTGACTTAGGACTAGATTTCAAAACTAAATTTCACTTTTCCACCACATCATTTTCATAATAGGAAAAACATATAAACAAAAAGCTTAATGTTATAACAATCATAACTTTTAGACAAACTTTAGATTTAGGTTTCATAGAACCTTTGGTTCTATCAGTTATAAAGTACTATGCCTAACAATGAGCTAAATGACAAGTAATTTAAAATTTTTTAAAGTTTGAAGTCAGCCCTGGCTTCTCTGGCTTAATTGGTTGGAGCATCGTCCCATACCCGGAAAGATCCTAGGTTTGATTCCCAGGCAGGACACATACCCAAGTTGCGGGTTCGAGGGCACATATAAGAATCAATCAATGAATGCATAAATAGGTGAAACAGAAAACTGATGTTTCTCTCCCTTCCTCCCTCTCTCTAAAGTAAATAAATAAATATTAATTAAACAGGACAGCTAATTTTCTGTCATCATCTGATTTAACTTAGCAACACTATTAAATCACAACCTCCTCACTGATGCCTTCTTCACTTGACCTCCTTTTCCCTCTTACCTTACTGACTGCTCCTTAAAACAAAGGAGTTGTTGCTCTCATCTAGTCTCATAACCTTAAATATTATCTAAGGAAAAAAAGTGAACAGCCTGTCCAGGTCTTTTCCACAGGGGGAAAAAAAAAAAAATGGCCTTAGGTTTAGATCTCACAGCACAGTTTCCTTAAAATATAGTTTAAATTAATGTGGAAAACGACATTTAAGATCCATGCTACACAATACAGTAAGCCACTAGCTATATTTTATTTAAGTTTTTTAATTAAATAAAATTTAAAATTCAGTTCCTTCACTACGGTAATGACATTTCAAATGCCCAGCAGCCCCATGTGGCTAGTGGCTATCATACTGGACATTGCTCAGTGGACAATGTAAATAAAGAACATTTCCATTACTGCAGATAACTGAATTAGACAATGCTGCTCTAAACCTTGTTCATTGTTAAGTCTCTTAATTGTGATTGGCATACAGACTCTGAGGCCTACATGACTAGACAAAATAGAAGATAACTGAGAAATCAAGGTAATGGCTTTCCTGTGCTAAAATGAGTACTGGCTGTGTCTCCTAGAACTAAGCACATTTCCCATATTCTGTTAAGAGCCTAAAAGATGCTTGGACTGTTGTAAGATATACAAGATAGCTGATGTTCCCCAGGCTGAAGTAGACTGCACCCACTTCAGCTTTGTCTCCTACAACTAAGCAAGCTTCTGTGCATTGGCACAGTCTTGGAAGTTGCACTTAGATAATGAAAATGTTTCTGTATGTGCTATGTTTCTTACTCTGACAAAACTATATAAACCAGAGTGGGATTATGATACCAAATTAAAGCCTATGAATTGGGTTGTCAATTCAAAAATGAGACACATACTAGTGGCTGTGCAAACTGATGTCAAATTGAGGTATTAACTGCTCTATACAGTGGAGCCATTGCCTTAATTTCCCTGTATCAGCAGTGGGAAATGTCAGGCCCACAGGCTGTAGAAAGCCTGCAAAACCATTTGGTCTGGCCCTGCCAATGCATTATAGGTGAGTTAATTAAATGTATGACCAAATATTTTTAAGATGATAATTTTGTATGGCCTATGAAAGATATTGTAAATATCCAAATGGCCCTTGGCAGAAAAAAAGGTTCTTACCAACTTAGATTTGCCTATCTATGTATATATAAGCCAAGCATTTTATATAGAATTCTGAAATCAAAGCCCTATAACAACATGAGTGTGCATCTACATATATTCATATGCAATATCTTCTCTGCTTTCTTCCGTTTACATTTGTATGGCTATCTGTTATAAATATTCCCATTAAGCAGAAACCGGTTTGGCTCAGTGGATAGAGCGTCGGCCTGCGGACTGAAAGGTCCCAGGTTTTATTCTGGTCAAGGGCCTATACCTTGGTTATAGGCACATCCCCAGTAGGTGGTGTGCAGGATTAATGTTTCTCTCCCATCAATGTTTCTAAATCTCTATCCTTCTCCCTTCCTCTCTGTAAAAACTCAATAAAACATAATTTAAAAATGAAAATTCATGAAATACCATTCTCAAAATACATATATGTCGCATAACTGAATCACAAATAAATTTTAATAGATCAAAACCAGAAACTCTTACCTTTTGATCAGGCAAGTTGAAAAGGAATTCTCTGTCAAAACGACCAGGTCTCCTGAGAGCAGGGTCTATAGAGTCAAGTCTATTTGTAGCACCAATAACAACAATTTCACCCCTATTATCTAATCCATCCATAAGAGCAAGGAGGGTTGACACTATAGAGCTGTAACAAAATTTTTAGAGAAAATTGGAAAAAAAATAAAGAAAAGTTGTAAAAAATGCTTTTTATACTAACTTTTATCAATCTTAAAATGCAAATAAAAGTACAGTATAATTATCTTCATGCAAGATCAAGAAATATACAGAAATCATTTTCAAAAGTATTCAAACATTAATAGACACCAAAAACATAGCAACAAAGCCCAGCCCACATGGTTCAATGGTTGAGCCTCGAACTATGATGCAGCAGGTCACAGTTCAATTCCCAGTCAGGGCAAATGCCCAGGTTGCGAGCTCAATCCCCAGTGTGGTGCATGCAGGAGGCAGCCGACCAATGAATCTTTCTCATCATTGATATTTCTTACTCTACCTCTCCCTTCCTCTCTGAAATCAATAAAAAGTATATTTTAAAACAAAAACACAGCCGAAACAAGTTTGGCTCAATGGATAGAGCATCAGCCTGCGGATTGAAAGGTCCCGGGTTCGATTCCAGTCAAGGGCATGTACCTTGGTTGCGGGCACATCCCCGGTAGAGGGTGTGCAAGAGGCAGCTGATGGATGATTCTCTCTCATCGATGTTTCTAACTCTCTATCCCTCTCTCTTCCTCTCTGTAAAAAATCAATAAGATATATTTTTTTTAAAATAATAATTAAAAAAATAAACACACACACACAGCAACAAAAAACATAAAAGTTATTCTGCCTTTAACTATCAAGAAAGTTAAAAGGCAACCTAAAGAACAGGAGAGAAAATATTTATAAATTATATATTTAATAAGGGTTTAGGACTCAGAATACATAAAAACAATCACAACTCAACAACAAAAAAGTAGCCTAAAATAAAAAGAGTCAAAAGATGTAAATAGACATTTTTCCATACAAAACATACAAAGGGCCCATCCTTAGTCATTAGCAATATCCAAATCGAAACCAAATGAGGTAGCGACCCTGGCTGGGTAGCTCAGTTGGTTAGAATATCGTCACCATACACCAAGGTTGCAGGTTTGATCTCGGTCACAGGTTTGATATTGGTCAGGGCATATACAAAAAGCAACCAATGAATGTATAAATAAGTGAAACAATAAATCAATGTTTCTCTCCCTCCCTCTCTCCTTCACTTGTGAAATGTGCCTCTTTGGAAAACAGCCTGAGAGTTCTTTCAACTACTAAACATAGAGTTACCATATGACCCAACAATATCCACACAAAAAATAACGTTCATAGTAGCTTTATTCGTAACAGCCAAAAAGTCGAAGCAGCTCTATGTCTATCAATGGGATAAATGGACAAAATGTGTCATGTCCATACAATAGATTGTCAATAAAAATAAATGAAGTACTGACAGGAGCTACAACATGAACCTTGAAAACACTGTGCTAAATGATATGATTACATTTTTATGAAAAGTCTAAAATGGGCATATCTAGAGCAAGTCAAAGTATGTTAGTGATTGCCTAGGACTTGGTGGGGGATAAGGGAGAGGTTGGAGAGTGATGGCTAAAAGATATAAGGATTTGCCAAAACCGGTTTGGCTCAGTGGAAAGAGCGACGGCCTGCGGACTGAAAGGTCCCAGGTTCGATTCTGGTCAAGAGCATGTACCTTGGTTGCGGGCACATCCCCAGTGGGGGGTGTGCAGGAGGCAGCTGGTCGAAGTTTCTCTTTCATCGATGTTTCTAACTCTCTATCTCTCTCTCTTCCTCTCTGTAAAAAAAAAAAATCAATAAAATATATAAAAATAAAAAATAAAAGATATAAGGATTCTTTCTGGGGAAATGAAAATGTTCAATAATTGGTTGTGGTAATGGTTACACACTGTAAATACACTGGAAGCCACTTAAACATATGGTTTAAATGACTAAACTGTATATATGAACATATCTGAATCATACAGTTTAAATGAGTGAACTTTATGTTTATCTCAATAAAGCTGTTTCTGGGGGGAAAAAAAGAATAAAAAATATATTAGTCTTTTAATAGCAATCTTGGGTAGGGATAATGTCTGCCAACTTATATTCTGTTTAGAGTCCCTACAGAATTACATTTTGCATTATTGTAATTTAAGATATTTTCTTTAGAATGGCTATCATTGTAACTAAATTCAACTCAAAATTATTTTAGATTTTTAAACTATGCTTTAACATTACTGAATAGAAATGTTTCATGTCTAATTATAAGATAAACCATAATTCTAGTAACAAGGATCTTCTTAGTGTTTTCCAACTGTTCTCACTTCAATTCTTACTGCTAACACCAGTGTGAAATAACTTCTCCAATATGCTCAACATGTTAAAGAAATCATCCTGAGGATCCAAGATGGCTGCTCGGGTAGACACCTAACCGCAGCAGCACACAACAATTTCAATGGAATACAACTAAAATGTAGAGTGGACATTGCCCAGAGCTACAGGTAGTCGACTGACTGAAAATTCTACAACAAGAAGGAAAGAGAAAACCAGAAGGAAAATCAGAGGAGCTGAAAAAAAGCCTAAGGTACGGAGACATGCTGCGCGCCCGCACACACGCGCGCGCGGAGAGGTCGCAGCCGGAGAGGAGGAGAGGGCTGGGTGCTGCCTGGCGTTCCCTAGCAGGAAGGAAATAAAACCCCCAGCCTGGGCTGAACCCCCGAACCGGCAGCACTGAGCCCCAGTTATGGGCCAGACCCTGGGGACCCAGGCTCCGGCGGGGGAGACGGGGCTGTGAGGCGGAATCCCAAGCAAGCAGTGAAAAGCAGGGCCCCCGGAGTCGCGCGCACATTGTGCGCAGAGGACTGAATATTGACTCTGATGCTGGATTACCCTAGCCGGAAGAAACAAAGCCTCCAGCGGCGCTGAGCCTCAGTCCGGACTGCTCTGAACCCCAGTTCTAGGCCAATCCCTGGGGACCCAAGCTCAAGCAGAGGGAGACGGGGCTGTGAGGTGGAGTCCTGGGAGAGCAGCGAAAGGCCGAGCCCCCCGGAGTCGCGCACATTGCTTGCAAGGGAAAGAATGTTGACTCTGATGCGGGATTGCCTTGGAGGGAAGGAAACAGGAGCCCCGGCCGTGTTGGGCCTCAGTTTCAACTGCTCTGAACCCCAGTCCTAGGCCAGACCCTGGGGACCCAGGATCAGGCAGGGGGAGACGGGGCTGTGAGGCGGAATCCCAGGGGAGCGGCGAAAAGAGGAACCCCCGAGTCGCGCACATTGCGCGCAGAGGACAGTCTGTTGACTCTGATCCTAGACTCCCCTAGTGGGAAGGAGAAAAAAAGCTCCAGACTGGAGGAACACGACGAGGAGCAGGAGCCCCTGCAGGACACCGGCCAGCTGGGCACCAGCAAGGAGCCGGGCAACGGGGCCCCCAGGGAGGGGGGTGCCCCTGAGCCTTCGACCGCTGAGCACGGGCAACGGAGCCAAGGCCGGGGGCTGCTTCCTAGGCGGCACCGACCCCGGAAACAGGCTGAAGCAGCGCAGGAGCCCTCGGAGAACAAAGGGGTGCCACAGGCCAACCTGCTGAGCTCCCAGGACAAGGAGGAAGAAACCAAAGAAGTTCTCAATGTGAAGAAATCAAGTGAGAGCAAAAGATAGTAAAATTACCTAAGAAAGAACACAAAGAAGATCTTGAAAAATCAAAGACTAAGTCAGAACTCAACTCACCAGCCAACATTGCAACATAAATGCGTGTTTTTTTTGTTTTGTTTTTTAAAAAGGACAAAATGTTGGAACAGCGGCGGCCAGGCCTAGAGTGGCCAGGCACAAGGCAGTGGCAGCCAGGCCCGGAGCAGCAATGGCCAGGCCCCAGAGCAGCAGCAGCCAGAACCATTGCATCAACAGCCAGCACTGGAGCAGCCAGACCTGGGGCAGTGGCAGCCAGGCCTGAGGCGGAGGCAGCCAAGCCCAGGGTGGCCAGTCCAGGAACACCCAGACCCGGAGTGGCCGGGCCCGGAGAAGCTGGGCCCAGAGCAGCCGGGTTGGGAGCATCCAGGTCCAGAACAGCAGTAGCCAAGCCCGGAGCATCCAGGCCGGGAGCGGCCAGGCCCAGGACAGCCGGGCTCAGAGCAGCCGGGTCGGGTGCGGCCAGGCCTAGAAAAGCAGCTGCCAGGCTGGGAGCGGCCAGGCCCGGAGCGGCCAGGCCCGAAGCAGCAGCAGCCAAGTCCAGAGCAACTAGGTCGGAAGTGGCAGTGACCAGACCCAGAGCAGCTGGTTGTGGAACGAACCAGAGCAACAGAGGCCAGGCCCGGAGCAGCCAGGCCCGAAACAGCTCGCTCCTCGCCTGCCCCTGCCCCACGGCTGCCTCTCAGACATGGCTGGAAACTTTTGCGGGAACTTGAGGGTCTGCTGAATCAAGTGATGAAGGCTTAGATCTGGATGTGTTGAGTTAGTATAGCGCTGGGGTGTTGATCTGTGAGTGCCTTGGGTGGGGCCTGGATGAGGCTGGTTGACCTATTTGGAAATGTCTTTTTTGTGAAGTGTATCATTGGGCATGTGGAGGTATTATTGGTATGAGAAAATGCTATGTAACTGATTTACTATCGGGGAAAGGGAGGAAGGAAGAGACTGAACATAAACTGTGCACCTATGGATGAGGACAATGAGGGATGGGGAGGGGTGGAGGGAGGGGTGGGAACCTGGTGGAGGGGGGAAGAAATGAGGAACCTTTGTAATAATATGAACAATAAAGATTGATTTTTAAAAAAAAATCATTCTTGCTCCTAAATAAACTGTTCCACTTGTTTCCCAAATCCATAAATGAGACCAAAATGCTAGAGACCCAATATGCAGAGAATTTGTGCTTATTCTTATCTATTGAATAACTAAAAATTAATGACATAAGTGCCTCACTCAAGATAAAAGAGGTGAGAAATAAGCATCCTTAAGTATAAGTTCATATTTAATCTCAAACTTTTCCTTAGTATATTCCAATCACCGGGAGCATTTGAAATGTTTATTAGAATTTTTTTTTTAAGATTTTTTAATTGATTTTTAGAGAAAGAGGAGGGGAAAGGGGAAAAAAGAAACATCAATGTGAGGGCAGTATAGCGATCAGCTACCTCCTGCATGCCCCTTACTAGGGATCGAGGCTACAACCCAGGCATGGGCCCTGACCAGGAATGAACCAGCAACCTTTCCATGCACGGGAGGCGTCCAACCAACTAAGCCACACTGGCCAGACCTGCTTGATAGGATTTATCAACATTTTTAAGTGTTTTGTACAGGATTATCAAAAAACAAAGTTTTAAACATGACCAAAAACAGAATTACACCCTACCTTAAATTCTACCAAAAGTTACCTTTAACTTAAAATTTTTAATTACGAGCTCCTGGATCAAAACTCTCTAGTAATCCTTATTATGTTTAAAATAAAGTCTAAATGAATTAAATACTATATTTGAGGGCTTAACCCTTCATATTATCTTCTAAAAGAATTTGTATCATCTTTCAAATATGGACTTAAAATCCAATTGGAATTGTTTTATAGCATGTGAAGAAGAATCAGTTTTATTTTTTCACCAACTAGATACCTAATTTTCCCAGCATTGTTCATTGAAAAGCCCATTTTTTCCCAAGAGCACTGAACTGCCTAATAAAATAGGCAGTTCAGTGCTCTTGGGAAAAAATTTAATTTAATTTAATTAAAATAAAACACATTAATTTAAATAAAATAAAACATATTAATTTAAATAAAATAAAACACATTTAATTTAAATACATTTTTATTGACTTTAGAAAGATAAGGACAGAGAAACATTGGTATGGGGGGGGAAATGATCAATCCATGGCTGACTCCTGCATACCCCGTCCTGAGGTACTGAGGATCAAGCCCACAACCTATGCCCTGAACGGGAATTGAAAGGGTGACCTCATGGTGCACAGTACGACATCCAACCACCTCAGCCACAACTCTGCTCTTGTAGTGCAGGAGCAGCCATATATAACGGGAAAAGGAATAAACACAAGCTGTGTTCCAATACCACATCACTTACAAAAACAGGCAGGAGGCTGGATTTGCCCCACAGGTCATGCACGGTTTGCTGACCCCTGTGCTAACGGAAAAAGATCTTCCTTAAGGACATAGATGACATGTTATAAGCCTCATAGCACTCATCCAAGGGCTAAGGCTAAAGACTGTGTCAATGAGTGAAAAGAATCTAACATAATCAGATTAGAAAAATTACCTGTGAATCTGATCTTGTCTGCTAGAGCGAACTGGAGCTAATCCATCTATTTCATCAAAAAATATTATAGAAGGTCTCATCAAATATGCCTAGTATAAAAAGAAAAGAGTTATTTATTGTATTAATGTCCATTTTTTATAATTACTGTTTTCTCTTAATAGCTAATATAAGCAAATGATACAACATACATCAGGTAAAAAAAGATTACATAAGTAAAAAGGAAATCTCCTTTTCCTTTTTACTTATGTAATATCCAACCACAGGTCTACAGATATCTACTGTTTTCAGTTTTATTCTTTGATATGTATTATTTATTCACATACACAATAAGTCTTTTTAAACATACTATTTTTGTTTTATTTCATGCATTTAAGTCATTGAACAATGTCAGCATTTCCAAGTTAATTCCTTCCTCATCCACCAATGTTAGTTTATATTTATACATTTCAATTATTATTAAACCAGAGGCCCAGTGCACGAAATTCAGGCACTGGTAGGGTCGGTCCCTAGCAGCTGCAGCAGGCCAGAGCTTCCGGAAGCTTCCTTCCCACGGCCCCGCCCCTTGGTCAAACTCCCAGGCGAGGGGACAATTTACATACTACACTTTTATTATATAGGATTCTCTTAAAGCATACAGGCTGCAAATGTTTGACTTCCCAATAAACACTGAGCACCATGAAGGTAAGAATTTTTCTATATTCCTCTTTCTAGATCCATTATCTTAAACAGAGCAGTTTTTAATACTAATGTCATATTTGAATTGTTTTAATAATTACAAACAACTTTGACACACAATGGGCATTCAATGAATGCTTATTGAAAGCACTGTTTTTATTTCATTTGAATTTCTTTAAACACAATGAAATATAAGTTACATTGCCAAATTATGAATGACTTCATTCATTAACTCAAACAATCCAAAGTGAACTTACAGGAGGACTCTTATTACAAGTGTTAGAAAATAATATTTATAAGTACTTATCCTATCTAATAAAAGAGTAATGTGCAGATTGACCATCACTCCAACACATAAGATGACTGCCCCCATGTGGACACAATGGCCACCAAAAGATGGGCAGAAGGGAAGGGCAGTTGGGAGGGACCAGGTCTGCAAGGGAGTGCAGTTGTGGGCAATCAAGCCACCAGGGGAGGGCAGTTGGGAGGGACCCAGGCTTGCAGGGAAGAGCAGTTGGGGGAGACCTGGCCTACAGGGGAGGGAAGTTGGGGGTGACCAGGGCTGTAGGGGAGGGTAGTTAGGAGCAATCAGACTGTCAGGGGAGCAGTTAGGCATCAATCAGGCTGGCAGGTGAGTGGTTAGGGGTTGAGCAGGCTGGCAGGCAAAAGCAGTTAAGGGCAATTAGGAAGACAGGCAGGACAGTAGTTAGAAGTCAGCAGTCCTGGATTGTGAGAGAAATGTCCGACTGCCCATTTAGGCCCAATCCCAGTAGATCGTGCACCAGGCCTCTAGTTACATATAAATAGTAAAGAAAGCCTACACAATATTCATTCACCTTAACGTTTTATTTTTTAAATAAATTTCATTGATTTTTATAGAGAAAGGGGGAGAGAGAGAGAAACCTCAATCAGTAGCCTCTCACATACACCCCAACTGGAAATCAAACCCACAACCAAGGCATGTGCCCTGACAGGAATTGAACCTGCCACCTTTCAGTGAATGGGACAACATTCCAACGAACTGAACCATACTGATCAGTGCTCACCTTATTTTTTAAAAGTATTCACTTACTGCTAAATTCTTTCAGCACCACATTTACAACTGATGAAAATAATTACTGTACTATTTTGTGTAATTTCATGTTAAGCTTTTTATACTATTTCCTGAATTAGACTACAATCTAATGATAAATATGTTATAACCAAGGTTTCCAAAAGCATCTAACATGTTATTAGAAGCCTAGTAGCCATCTCAATAAATGTGTTGGGGGTCAACTTAAATTAATACTAGTAAAATTGCTTTTAAATACTTCTTAACCATTCATATTTAGATTACTGATCTTAAATTTCATATACTGACTCGAGAATATGCCTCCTCGAGAACAGTCTGTATTTACAGACTAAGTGCATCAACTATGCTAAAGAAGATATTCTCTGATTTTACTTACCTGATCAAAAAGAAGCCTAAGTTGCCTTTCTGATTCACCCACCCACTTGCTCAGACAGTCTGCTCCTTTTCGCATAAAAAAAGCCACCTTTTTGTCTCCTTGACTGCACTCATTAGCTAGTGCTCTGGCAACCAAGGTTTTACCTGTGCCAGGAGGTCCATAAAACAAACAGCCCCTAGAGGAATAAAAAATTAGTAAATGTTATCACCACCACTAATAACCAATACAAAAGGATACATCTCTTGTATAATTTTGTATTAATATTATAATTATTAGACACAAATAAAACCTTTTTAGTACACAGACAAATGTTTCCCTTCACTGAATGTCCTCAAGGATGTTCTCAAAGCACCAAGCTTTGATAGGCCAAAAAATACAGTTAAATCAAAATAGAGAGTAATTTGGCAAGATACATCAAAATTTTAAATGTTTTTCCCTGTGACCCACCAATTTCACATCTTAGAATACGTCATATAGAAATACTCAAAAGAATGTTATTTTTAGCCAAAACTGGTTTGGCTCAGTGGATAGAACGTCAGCCTGCGGACTGAAAGGTCTCAGGTTCAATTCCGATCAAGGGCATGTACCTTACTTGTGGGCACATCCCCAGTAGGGGGTGTGCGAGAGGCAGCTGATCGATGATTCTCTCTCATCGATGTTTCTAACTATCTATCCCTCTCTCTTCCTCTCTATAAAAAATCAATAAAATATATTTTAAAAAATAAAAAAAGAATGTCATTTTTTTTTTAATTTAAATGTATTTTTACTTATTTCAGAAATGAAGGCAGAGGAAGAGATAAACAGGAACAACACTGTTAAGAGAGTATCATTGATCAGCTGCCTCCTGCATGCCCCCCCACTGAGGATCAAGACTACAACCTGGGCATATGGCCTGGCCTGCTCAATGCTTAATCACTGAGCTAAGCCGGCCAGGTTAAAATTTTTTAAATGGATGTTCAACAGACCAGATTCTAATTGTGAAAAACTAAAAAAAAAAAAAAAAAAAAAAAATGCCATTTAGTAATAAGGGACAGATACACTGTTACATTTATAAAATAAAACACTAGTATAGTATCAAATAATATGTACATTATTAATATGGAAGGTGTCTAGAATATATTATACAGTAAAAAACAAAAGTTATGTAAGAGTATTGTTAAGTAATATCATTTATATTAAAAGTTTACATGTGAATAATATAGACAAAACATAAATTTAACATATGCACAAATGTATAAAAGAAATCTATAATAAATATACAAAATTTCATCCCTAAAGAGTAGAATTACTTTCTGTTTGTGACACTTGCTCCCTATAACTCTGTTTTGTTTATCCCAAGGCTATACTAAAAGTAATAATTATTTTTTAAATTCAATTTATATCATATAAAAAACAAATAAATTGCTATCATGATTTTTAAAAGCCAATGTAGAATTATAGGCTAACTTTTTAAATGACTCAAATAGAAGACTCTTTTTCTAATTTATCTTTATTGTTGAAAATATTACAGATGTCTCCTGAAGATGACTTTTTAATAGATTTTCTACATCCTTAAACACATGGAAAGTAAATTAGAACCAAATCTGAATAAAAACCTCCTACTAAATAAAAAGGAACATTTAGCAGATTAAATCTAACAATCTATAAATATACATCTTCAGAATATTTTATTCTGCTCAATCTCCTTTAAAACAATTTCTTAGCCTTTTTCTAATATTTAATCACCTCATGATCAACCACAATTAAAATGATCATGAAAATAAATTACCAAGCTTACAATCTCAAAAATATCCCATCAAGTCAAATAAAGACATCATTGAAATTGTACTTTCAAAGATGAAACAATACAGAGCATCAAACTCAATGCTATTAGAAAGCCAAATCAAGGAAAATATCTGGACAATTCACTTATATATATTAAAGACCTGATTTGTGCCTGACAATTAAATGCTAAGGTGTAAATTTCAAGAACATAGTACCACAGCCTTAGAGCACTCAAAAACAAATTTTCTTTCTTAATTCTTAATGCTAGAACACACTAAATAAATACATGTGAAATATTTATACTTATAATCATTTACTAATTGAAATTTTATAAGTTAACAGTAATAACAATACTTACCTTGGAGGCTGAATTTTAAATTTTTCAAAAATTTCTGGATATAATAGTGGAAATACTACCATTTCCTTTAGTGCATGAATATGATGGCTCAATCCACCTATGCTATCAAACCGTACCTTGGAAAGAAGGGGAAAAGTTTAACATAAAATAATTTTAACTGTTTATAGTTTTTTTTAACGAGACAGTTTTATGATTCAGAAATACATGTCTGAGCAGAAATTATTGAACGTAAAGTTAAAAATAATCACACTTTTGAAATAAGTTAGAAAAATAAAGTTGGCAGTAAAACTCAAGTGTACATGTCAGTCCAGCCAAATAAAGCTCTCAGTCTTTAATCTCACAGTAACTAAGGACAAGAGCAATGCCTAGTCTAACACTTTAATGGTTATCTATAAGAAATACTATGTTATATATGTATGCTAATAATTTAAATGCCTTTCAAAATACCATCTATCACATGCATTCTCAGAAGGGGCAACTTTACCCCCAAGGGGGCAAAAGTTGATCCAGGAATAGGGTAACAAAAATCTTTGCTATTACAATGGCTTGTAACCCACCAAAACTCAACTTTACCTGACAAAAATCTTAATCTTTAACACAAATTTGCCTAAAGAGAAATTTAATTTTGTCATTACGAAAAAACAATGAAAAAAAAAAGTTTGAGAAACACCGATCTCCCGCAAGATGCAACAAAGATTATTCCTCCCACCTCTAACAGTTTAAATATCTAAAACAGTTTGTAAATTTAAAAACTAGATAAAAGAAAGTGTTGGTGGGGGGGGAGGGTGGAATGGGGGGGTTGAAGATAAATATGTGATACTTTAATCAATAAAGCAATTTTTTAAAAAATAAATAAATTAAAAATAAATTAAAAATTAAAAAAGAAAAGGAAAAAAAGAAAGTGCTTGAAGAAAATAGTGCCAAAATGTTAGCAGTGATTGCCTTTGACCAGTGGGTACTGGGAGATTTCTTTCCTTGATTTTTTATTCTGTTATGGTACTTGAAAATGTTCTACAATGAATATTTTACTATGAAAAACAATACTTAAGTAATCTAGAAAAATAGAGTTTAAATAAAAAAAACTCTAAAAGTAGCTAAATTTTCTTGCATATGATATCATACTTTAAAGAAGTAAGTTGACTCTAACTGGCAGAAATGCCTAAAATTAACTAGATTCAAGAGAACGAGGTGCTGGCAAATCAAATAAGCAAAGGTCATTAAGTAAAATCCTCTGAGAATGTGAACTACTAGACCTGACTCTCTGAAATGTCTTAGGTCCTCACAAATAAAGATTTTCCCCTATGATTTCAGATTGGAGGTAGCTAAAATTTCCTGTTCAAATATATACACAACTTCATTTGATAACTTAAGTCTATCATGTGAGAATTGGTTAAATTATGTTGAATAGAAATGTTTATGGGAATAATCACATATATTCTATAATAACCTTATTCCCAAGTATCCTCGCAGAAAAGATTCTACTAACAGTAAGAATCTACCATGTTTTATAAGTCTTGTTTCTCTTTGCACACCATATACTTTCCTGGGTGCTTATTATCCATATACCATACTAACCTCAGCTATCTTTATGTGGTTGAGCCATATCTGAAATTTTAGCCCAGATATTTTGCCTTAATGCCAAAACTAAAATAACCAATTTCCTACAAGTTACTTCAATTTATGATATGCCACAGATACCTAAACATGTCTATAACTAAATCAATTTTCACACCTCAAATACATATTTCTTCTATTATGCCTCCTACCTCAGAGAATTAAGCCATCATTACTTCATCCAATCTCTTAAGCCGGAAACCTGGGTAAAATATTCAACTTGTTTCTCTCCCTCATTCCCCAAAAGCAATTAATTCACCAAATTGTGTCATACCAAATTCTCTACTGAATTATGTCAAATCAATATGCTACCTCCTTCCATCGTTACCCTACTTTCTACTGTGACCATTACTCCAGATTACTAGATTACAACTACTTCTGAACCAGTCTCCCTAAAGCCAATCTTGCTGCCCTCAAATTCATTAACTAAATCATAGACAGAGCGATCTATCTAAAATGCAAATCTGATCTGGAAACCTAAACAGCAGCTTCAATAATAACCAATTGCCTAATCATGATTTATGGGGATCAGCCTCATTTCCTAACCATTTTTTCACCATATGCTCTAGCAACAGTGAAATGAAAAAAAAAAGGGGGGGGAAACTTGAGTAGACATCATATGTGATAAGAGTGCTAGCTTTCAACACACACACACACACACAATGGTGATGTCTAGATTTTTCTGTATTTATTGTGTGTTGGTTTAGAAACAAGACATGACCTTTAAAAAAAAAAAAAAAAAAAAAAAAAAAAAAAAAAAAAAAAAAAAAAAAAGGTACTTCTAGAAAAACATCTCCAAAACTTACTGATTTATCAATGTTCATTGGATCAACATCAGCCAAACTTGCACCCACTTTAACACGTTCTCGGAGAATACCACTGGCTAAATCTTCTGTTCTTAAATTCATAGGCAAACACCTGAAATTCATAAAAAATTCAAGTTTCACATTTTTAATGTCAAAATAAATTTAAATATCTAACACATTTTCACCTTTCTCCTTTTTATCATAAACCAGAAAATAACATCAAAAGACTCCATACTTTTAAACTACCTTTTCTAAAAAATTTTCAACAAACCAAAAATAAACATATTCACTAGATAAAGCGAAGGCCAATAATCTATTTGTCCAAAAAGGCCAATCTATTCCAACTCAGAAAACTTAACCTATCTGATGTTCCATATTATCTATAATAATAAAAGCATAATATGCTAATTAAACCAGACAGTTGAACGACCTTCTGGATGTCATTTCAGATGTCATTCTGGACGACCTTCCAGATGAAGCCATAGAGACGGAGACCAAGGCAGAGTGGTTAGGGGCGATCAGGCAGGCAGACAGAGGCGGTAGGGGCAATCACACAAGTAGGCAGGCCAGCGACTAGGAGCCAGCGGTCCCGAATTGCGAGAGGGATGTCCCCTGAGGGGTCCCAGATAGTGAGAGGGTACAAGCCGGGCTGAGGGACACATATGAACTATAATATAGAGCACTAACTGAACTCAAGTTTCACTATGATATTTAAACTTATCCTTAGATATTATGTGAATATGTCTACTCAATTTACATGACTGAAGAAAATGATTTTGCCCTTTTATTCTAAGGAAACCAAGTTTAGACCACATTTTGAGACTAAGCTTAATCTTTTGTATAACTTAAAATAAATCTTTAACTACCTAAAACCATATATTGTATTATTTAATTTTATTGCCCTTAGAAAATATAATCTACTTACTCTTTTAACCTTGGGTAAACACCAAAAAATTACAAACAGCCTCAAAAAAGTATGACTTTTGTAATGAATGTAACTTTGATAACATTTCTGAGTACTACCTTCTCTCAAAAACATATTTCCAAAGCAGATATCAGAATAGTTCAGATCAAAGAGGCATTAAATTCTTTTATTTAAACTTAGATTTTCTCTTACATTTTCTTTCCATCATTTACTACATAAGGAATTTATTGTCTGCATACAATCTACACCATTCCAAACTAGTTTCCAACACCTGCTAAATAAAAACTTGGTATTTCTATAATAAATATATAACAATAAATTATAGAAACGCTTTGCCAAATGTAAACTTTTAAAATATAATCTATCTTTAGTATTATAAAATAAGCTAGAACACTGACTCAAATTTTAAAGAATATATTATTAATTTGAAGCTAATTATTTACTAAACAAAATACTGATTCTCTTCCCCAGTGAAAATTTTGAGGTTTCAGGAAGCTATGTAGTAATCAGTCACTTAACCTAGTTAGGCAAACACCACCAGAGGCACACATTCAACCAAAATTAAAACAAAATTTCTAATAAAAAGCCAAGGGCTCCTGACCTAATTTTATTAGAAGCCAAGTCTTACTCTGAGTGCAATCATTATAAGCATCAAAAAGCAGCCTCACTATATGAACTCAGGATAGAGGAAAAGTATGGAGAAAAATATTGTCGTAGAGGTTGGCCTCTTCCCTGTGGCTCTTCTTTCTTTACTTTGCACACACCATTTTACTGAATACTTATACAGTAAATAACCCAGAGTCAGATGTCTCCTCTAAGAATTATAAGCAAAAGCCAATCAGTACATTAGGCTAAAATATTGTGTTGAGTATCAATGATAGCAAAACGCTAGTACAGATAAGAATCCCATTAAAAATATAAAAACTGTCCTTTCTTTTTTCTGTCAGAGAAAACAATGGTAAAAATATTTACTAACCTATTTCTCGCTCTTGCCATGCTCTTTGATTTCCTTCTTTCAAAACGTTCTTCATCAGAAGAAGTTGTGTCACTACTATGAATAGCATGCTTCTTTCTCCTATTTAAAGGGAGTAAAGTTCAAAAAAAAGAAAAAAGAGAGTAAAGTCTTTAAAATCATTACAGTAGCAAATGGATTTTAAATACATATTATAAGCATCACATTTACAATTAGCTTAGTAGAAAACACACACATTCATCCATTCACTCAGAAATAGTTACCAAGCTCCTTGCACTCATGCAGTATATATCTAATGAGGTATAAACATAGTAAATTCCCAGAGAAAAAGAAAAGAAAGAGAAGGAGGATAGGGAACCCACAACTTTTTTTAAAAATATATATATATTTTATTGATTTTTTACAGAGAGGAAGAGAAAGGGAAAGTTAGAAACATCATGAGAGAGAATCATCAATCAGCTGCCTCTTGCATCACCCCTACTAGGGATGTGCCCGCAACCAAGGTACATGCCTTTGACCAGAATCGAACCCGGAACCTTTCAGTCCGCAGGCCGACGCTCTATCCACTGAGCCAAACCAGTCTCGGCAAGGAAGCCCACAATTTTTAAATAGAGTAGTTCAGGAAGACATATGTATACATATAAAATGACAATTACTCCAGCATATTCATTACATCATATTTTACAATAGCAAAAGAGTGAAAGCAACCTGACTCTCAATAAAGGACTAGTTTTTAAATTATACTATATCTACAAATACAATATTATGCAACTATAACATAAATGTGAAGTTTCACAATACTGAAAAGACAGTTAAAATGAATTAAATGAAAAATCAAGGTGCAGGATAATGTATACACTACATTTTATGTAAAAAGAACGGGTAGCAATTGATATGCATATTTGCATGAACAGGGTGTCCCAAAAATTAGAGGTACACTGTGAATAATTATAAAGGCAGTGTTTATTAAAATACATTTCATTTTCAAAATGTAATCTAATCCACAGACATTGTTTGTTTTGTCAATGCCTGTTTTCAAACTGTCCATTCTGGTCCAGGCACTGCTGATAACATAAAGCAATGGACAAACATCCAGAAAGATTTCATTTGGTAGTTGAGTGGATTCTCCTTTAATGGCTACTCTCAATTCAGTGGCAGTTGCTTATTTGGTAGTGTAGACTTTATTAAGTATCCCCATTTTAAAAAATCTAGAGGTGTGAGGTCTGGTGAATGAGGGTATTCTACAAGACCCCTTCATCCAATCCACGTATCTGGCAAGATCTCATCAAGGTAGGATCTTAAATCACAATGGTAGTGTGGGAGAGCCCCATCTTGCTGAAAATAAAACTACTCATCTTCAAAGACCTCTCTAATGAGGAAGGAGCCTGATTCCTCGCAGGGCCATGTGATTTCCCCTCAACTGTGGGTTCTGTTGTTGCTGGGGCACTGTTGCCCTGAATCTGGTTTACTGCACACTTGCATTTGCGTTCTACACCCTATAAATACAGCAGCAACTTTGCAGAGTGCCCTCCCACACTCCAGGATCCCTTTGGGGATGTCAGAGAGCAGGTTTCGATTAACTTTCATTGTGCATGAATCTGTCCACCAGGCCACTAGTATTGTAATAACTGTGTGTGATGACAAATGAGTATTTGAGTTATCAGGGCAGAGGAAGGAGGTTATTTATAAATTATATAACTGTCTAACCACTATGCTGTATACCAAAACCTAACATAAAATATATCAAATATCAACTATAATAGAGAAATAAAATTGAAAAAGTGCTATTTAGTCCCTCCTGGCATTATCATTTACACTATCAATAACTATACTATAATTATAAGGCAATACATTATGTATGATTTAAAGGATAACTACACTAATAAAAGAGAAAGATGCAAATTGACCGTACCTTTGCAACGACCACCAGCCAATCAGGAATGATTATGCAATTTAACCCAACAAAGATGGTGGGTTGATTTGCATACACAGGCACCAAGTGGCCAGGGGGCGGGACACTTGCGTCACCATGGCGATGACACAGGCATTCAGCACCGCCCCAGCCACTCTGGGCCTCTGGGCAGCATGGAAAGGCACCTCCAGGCTGAGCAAAGGCAGAAAGGCGGCTCTGAGCAGGAGCAAAGGTAGTGCCTGCAGCCAGGGAGAGGAAGGCCCATTGTTGCACGAATCTTCATGCATCGGCCCTCTAGTGTATAAATGACAGATGTAAATATTTCTTCCTTTCAAAAACCAATACAACATACCTGATATGGCTTCTTCTTGCTGGAGATCTGTGAATATCAAACAGCGTGTTTTCCCTCTTTTTTTGATGAGCTGGTACTTTAAAAAAAAAAAAAAATAGGAAAATATAGAAATAACTAATAATAAAATGATAAGTTGATATATTAAAGGAGTAGAGAAAACTTCTACTAAATTGATAAATTGGAGTTCTTAAAAATTAACAAAATTCTGCTCTTTGAAAGACACTATTAAGAGGAAAAAAAAAGTTATAGACAGAGAAAATATTTGCAAATCACATATCTGATAAAGGACTGATATCCAAAATGCATGAGGAACTCTCAAAACTTAATAAGAAAATAAACAATTCAACTGAAAAAATGCCTGAGATTTGAACAGACACTTCACCAGAGATAACATTGGCAAATCATCACATAAAATGACACTCAAAATCATTGGTCATTAGGGAAATATAAATTAGAACTAAAATAAATGCATATTAAAGCTAATTTTTAAGCCGAAACCAGTTTAGCTCAGCGTCGGCCTGCGGACTGAAAGGTCCCGGGTTCGATTCCGGTCAAGGGCATGTACCTTGGTTACAGGCACATCCCAGTAGGGGGTGTGCAGGAGGCAGCTGATCGATGTTTCTAACTCTCTAGCCCTCTCCTTTCCTCTCTGTAAAAAAAAAAAAAAAAAAAAAAAAAAAAAAAAATCAATAAAATATATATATTAAAGCTAATTTTTAAAATGACCATACCAAATGCTGGCAAAAATATGGACCAACTAGAAATCTCATATACTCTCTGAGCAAGAGGTAAGTGATGCAATCACTTTGGGAAACAGTGAGAAATTTCTTAGAAAATTAAATGTATCCTTATCCTAACAATAAAACCTAGACATTCCAGCCATAAAAAAGAATGATTATAAGAAAAACCAAATCTATGTTTAAACAATTATTTGCACATGAATGTTCATTAACAAGTTCATTTATAATAGCCAATACTAGAAATGTCAACAATCCCAATGTCCATAAAACAAATGAACAGATAAACAAAATTGTGATATATTCATATAATGGAATGCTACTCAGCAATAAAAGCACACTATCGTTATGTTCAACATGTATGAGTTTTATATTATGCTGAGTAAAAGACAAAAAAAAGCATATGTACTATGTTCTTTATGTAATAAAATATAAACTAATCTATAGTGAAAGAAAGAAGATCAGATCAGATTGGAAGCAGAGAGGCACAGAAGGGTAGGAGTAGATTATAAACAGGCAGGATGAAATTTGGGGGGTCGATAAACATGTTCATTGTCTTAATTGTGATAGCTTCATAAATATGTGTAATGGCAATGGTCTTTAATTATTTTTTTTAATCTAGACCACATGTGTCAAACACAAGGCCCGCGGGCCAAATCCGTCCCGCCAGGCCTTGCAATGTGGCCCACACCACGCTGTCATCACTGCACTCCGCTGCGTTTCCATCACAATGACAGTTTATGACTGTTCAGTAAACCATTCGGCCCGCAATTTAGGCTGGATTTTAGATTTTGGCCCCTTCTCTGATTGAGTTCGACACCCCTAATCTAGACAAATAGCTCACAGTCTTTTTTCTGTCCCAATACATCACCCCCATTATTAACAGGACTATCTGTAACAGTGACTCTTAACTGTGGTAGATAAGTATCCTTGTACTTGGGCAAGCTTCAAATAAGATAACTCTGATAGACACCTTTCAGAGAACAATCATTGTTTTAGAAAATAAAGGGTTTGAGTAAAAAGATCTAGATTCTTCCTTTAAAGCATTATGCTAAGTGAAAGAAATTAAACACAAAAGGTCACATACAGGCAAATCTATAGAGACAGAAAGTACATTAGCAGTTGCCAAGGGCTGGGTATGGGGGGAAGAAGAGAGTGTGAAAGTAATAAAATGTTCTAAAATTATATAGTGTTGATGACTGCACACTCTAGTGAATATATGAAAAACCAATCAAGTGTACATATTAAAAACCAGAAAAAAAGGTGAATTTCATGATATGTGAATTATATCTCAATTTTTAAAACTTTAAAGGAAATCAATAGTGGCAGAATTTCCCAAGAGCTGGAAAAAGTCAATAAAATAGTGTCTGTAGAATTTATTACATGTCCATTAGATTTAAACATTTTTCTTTTCAATAAAAATAAAAAACAAATCCCAATGTTACTGGCCAAGCTGCAGCCATGTACCACTTCTGTGACTAAATTACTCAACTACTGGGAACATAGAGATACTTGTCCTAAAGAACTGCTGTAATTGAAAGTGCTTAACAAGCTACACAAAGTAATACAAAACCAAAGCAGTATTTACTATTAAGATTAGCTTCTTTAACTAAAATGTACATGTTTTATGTAATTATATATTGCAACTACATACTTAAATTTTCTTTCCATTCTATAATAAACAGAAGCACATATAGGAAAAGTTATGTGGAACCTACAAGAGAGTTAATTCTTTTAAATTCAGCAACACCAATTTTTTAAACAGATGAAGCAGAACAAGCTACCAACTATAAAAACAAAGAAGTTATTTAGTGTCTCCTACCTATTGGAGGTGCTTGGTATCGATCCACTGTTTTTCTTTGTCTCAAATTATATGGTCTGTCATTTTCTTCTCCTTCTGCCTCTTCAACTTCTATATCTCCATCCTCCTCTTGAGATTCTAATTTCCCCACACACAGAAGAGAAAAAAACAAAAGTTTTAATCCACAGGATTGGTCCGCTCTAGAACGCAATATTTATATTTCATTTTTTTAAATATATTTTTGTTGATTTTTTAGGGGGGGGGAGAGGGAGAGAAAAAGAGAAAAACATCAGTGTAAGAAATAGTGACTGACTGCCTCCTGCTCACACCCCAAATGGGGATCAAGCCTGAAATCTGGGCACATGCTCTGACCAGGAATAGAGCTGGTTTCATGAGCCAGTGACTTTCAACCAACTGTGCTGCACCAGCCAGGAATTACATTTTTTTTAAATATATTGTTGTTGATTTCAGAGAGGAAGGAAGAGGGAGTTACTTTGTATTTTATCGAGCACTTTCAATTAAAAACATCAATGATGAGAATCACGGATCAGCTGCCTCCTGCACACCCTACACTGGGGGAATCAAGCCTGCAACTGCATGCACCCTGACCCAGAATCGAACTATGACCTCCCGGTTCATAGGTCAATGCTCAACCACTGAGCCACACAGGCCTAGCAGGGGCTACATTTTATCTTTTACTTTGCACAGGTGACACTTAAAAGTATCAGTTCTGGCCCTCGCTGGTTTGGCTCAGTGGATAGAGCATCGGCCTGCGACTGACAGGTCCGGGTTCAATTCTGGTCAAAGGCATGTACCTTGGTTGCGGGCACATCCCTAGTAGGGGTGATGCAAGAGGCAGCTGATTGATGATTCTCTCTCATGATGTTTCTAACTTTAGCCTGCGACTGACAGGTCCGGGTTCAATTCTGGTCAAGGGCACATGCTTGGGTTGTGGGCTTGATCCCTAGTAGGGGGTGTGAAGGAGGTAGTTGATCAATTATTCTCTCTCATGACTGATGTTTCTCTCTCTCTCTCTCCCTCTCTCTTCCTCTCTGAAATCAACAAAAATAAATAAATAAATTGATTTAAAATAAAATAAAATAAAGTATCAATTCTGTATCATAGAGCATAAATCAATAGCCCTAGCAGGTTTGGCTCAGTGGATAGAGCAACAACCTGCAGACCAAAGGTTCAATTCCAATCAGGGGCCAAGTACCTCGGCTGCAGATTCCTCCCCGGCCAAACCCTGGTCAGGGCTTGTGCAGGAGGCAACCAATCCATGCGTTTCTTTCACATCCATGTTTCTCTCTGCTTTTCCCTCTCTCTTCCACTCTCCCTCAAATCAGTCGAAGAATATCCTCAGGTGATATTCTCTTCTACAAATAAATGCCTTTCCTACAAATAAATAATCAATATAGTTACCTGCTAAATAAATCAATATGATCATATTTGATCTCTTGATTTGCTTATGATTCAGCATTTTACTATAGCAAGCTTCATTCAATGTCCAATTATGTAACCTCTGCATTAGGTTAGTATTCAAATACTACTTGGTAGTTCAAAAAATATGTTTACAAGACAATTATTAATGTTACAGCAAAAGCAATTATTGTTGGCAATGTAACAGTTTGTGAGGCCTGTTGACAACAGGTAAGGATTAATTATACTTGGTAAGAAAAGGCAGTAGGTATTGGGAGGGACCATGAAATAGGCTTCTAGGGTACTGATAATACTATAGGTTATTTGTTGACATTAGTGATTGTTTTATGATAATTCACCTAACTATAAATGTAAAAAACTAAATTAAAATATACACAATCACAAAAGTTTGGTTTTTTTAATTGTTTTAAAAACTTTTTGGCTATAGCTAAGATGTGGCATCTATTTACAGTTTAAAATAAAAATCTAAAATAAATAAATAAAAAAAATTAAGTTACAACATTTTTACTAAAATGTTTCTTACCAAAAAAAAATTAATTAATTTAAAAAAATCTAATGAAAATTTATAGGTTTATGGTCCTTAAGTACAATATACTTTAGGATTAAGTTTTTAAGCACAAGAACTGCCAATACAATGCAATCATATTAAGGCACAGGAAAAATTTTTAATTGCCAGTGATGCTGAGTGAAATAGGAGACTAAAAATGCAAAGGACTTTACATTTTACTGGTAACATCTGAAAGCTTATTCTAAGTTTTTAAATTTTTATTATTAGGGAAAAGAGAAAATCAGCAAATAAAATATAATTTATCTAAATAATACTATTAATTACTTATGCCAAATTACATTTCCAAAACCTTAAAAAATTAAAATAAAAAACACGCCTATACAATAATACTGTTTACTACGGGAGGAAACGCTGTATGTGTCCAATCTACTTTGAAAACGCCACAAAGATGTTCAGTTAATAAAAAGGCAAAAACCATATTATAAATCCATCTCACCTACATATACTGATTTTCTCCACAAGAAAGCAATATAGAGGTGCTAGCTGTAACAATATTTGTTCAATAAAGTACCTTCATTAGAAATATCAGTTCTTCATAACTTGCTAATATATTACAGAATAAGAGTAATAAACCTATTATTCTCTCTAAGCTATACAAACCATGGGAAGGAGTAAAACTGTCTAGTAAAATACAAGTACCCTGTATTTACAATACACCAAATCATCTGAAAATCCAATTCAATACAATAAAGAAGATGAACTCCCAAAGAATTAATTCCTATAGATGTGCTGGTCATTAATTTATAATCCTTGGGGCAAACGTACTTCCATCATGTTCCAGCTTCAGCTGTACAATTTGGGGTTCTTCAGTTCAGAACCTAGACATGCCTCAGAAAAAAACAGTAGTAAACTAGTATACTCCTCAGTCCATAACTAAATTTGGGACCCAAATACAGTAATTAGAGATTTAGAGACTATGGACAGAAAGCGATTCTGTTTAGAGGCTTCTGATTGGAAGGTATCTAAATATAAAAAAAGGCCTGACCTAGCAAGCAAATCAGCTCATGGCAAATGTAAATTAGGTCATTAAGGACTATCAATAGCTACAAATTAGATACATTACAACAATGTAGAGAGTATAGTAAAGGCACTTTTCCAATGCAGGAAATAGAAACTCAGAATGCCAGTTGAATAAAAATTATTTCAAATTATACAAAATATAGACCCCTACAACCAAAATTCACCTAATTGGCAATATTACATGTTACTTGAATATTTTTTTCTTTTTATTTTTTTTAACATATTTTATTGATTTTTTTTACAGAGAGGAAGGGAGAGAGATAGAGAGCTAGAAACATCAATGAGAGAGAAACATCGACCAGCTGCCTCTTGCACACCCCCTACCGGGGATGTGCCCGCAACCAATGTACATGCCCTTGACCGGAATCGAACCTGGGACCTTTCAGTCCGCAGACCGACGCTCTACCACTGAGCCAAACCGGTTTCAGCTGAATCTTTTTTTCTTCCACCTAAACTTTCCAGTATTTATTCTTTATTTAGATTTTGGCCCCTTCTCTGATTGAGTTCGCCACCCCTATCATAAAGTGTTATACAAACCTTCTTCTTCACCTTCAGTAGAGACTTCGTGATGATTCTGAATCCCATAACTATTTCTTCTCAGTGACTTTCTTCGCCTTTTCACTCTTGAATACATATCCATGTTTTCCTTTTAAAGAAAGAAATCTGTCAAATATTAACATGGAATTTATTATTGGCAATAAATAGTATAATCCACTGGGACATGTCTACTCAACAAAATTCACTGAGCGCCTATTTACAAAGCACAGATTCATGAAAACAGCTTCCTGAATTCAATGAATTTAAAGGACAAAAAAATAAACAAATAAAACATAAAATATTTGAAAATTGTAAAATATAATGCCATGGAATACTGTCTCATGCAAGCAAATTACAAACTAGTAGGATGAAAATAAATCACAGGTAACTATAAAGGGAAGTAAACAAAGTTAAACACCATAAAAAAAGGTACAAAGTAGAATTCAAAGAGACAACATCTTCTTGATAAGGGCAGGGAAGCAAGGCAACATTTGAAATGAGCCTTGAAACAAGGAAGGATTGCATCAGTCCCTAACCAGAAGGATTAAGAAAAGTAAGATAGATGAACAAGAATGACTTGTTTATATTTGGGCAATAGTATTGAGAAGATAAAAGTTGAAAACAGATTATGAAAGCCAAAATATTTTTAATTAATTCAGTACACATTAAAAAACCATTGAAGTTTCACATCAGAAAAGTAACAAAATCGGAACTGCATTTTCAGATGACTATTCTGGCAAAAGTAGAGAGCGGATCTTTAGGGGAATTATGGCAAGTAGGGGATGGGATAAAAGAAGCAAGAAAGCAAAAAAGTCCCAAGCTAAAAATGAAGAAGGAGCAATTCTATTAATCCAAAGTCCAAATGCTGTTCACTCTCCCTTTTTATTCCTCAATATAAATAAAAATTGCAAAGGTTGTTAAAATATACTCACAAATTCTGTATCTGTCCACATTCGAAGTCGTTCTACTTCTCCTGATCGACGATTCCGTCTAATGTTAATGTTGTCCATTTCTTGCAGTACAGCTTCAGCAGTACTATAATCATAAAATAAAACTAGGGTTTAGACAATTGTGGGACCATACACTGAGTCATCCACATAAAAGAGATCTTCACCAAAGCATAACTAAATCATCTCTGATGGTATGTAACAGTACATCCCTCTTTGAACTGACATCCATCAGAAGATAATGCGCCCAAAAAAGATAAAACCAAAAGACCTTCTACTTTAATATACTTATTAAAGTAAAACTTACAAAATAGAAGACTTGTTTATAAGCTCCAAATATTCAAATCCACAATGCCACTAAAAAAAACTGACTACCAGATCCAAGGCACTGAAAAAAGTAATTTAATCTTTTTATTTTATTCTATATAGAGAATAGGATTTGTAAAAAGTTTAAAGTTAATAAGGTAATAGAACAGGTCTTTCTAGAAATTAGAGAATACTGACATCCACAAAATACATGCTGACATTAGAACATTTCACTTTTCAAACACTATGTTTCCAGACACTGGTCTAAGTATTTAACAAAAGTACACTGAAACTAATACAAATAATACTGAATGTAAACTGTAATAGAAAAATGTAAAAAATAGCCGAAACCGGTTTGGCTCAGTGGATAGAGCGCTGGCCTGCGGACTGAAGGGTCCCTGGTTTGATTCCGGTCAAGGGCATGTACCTTGGTTGCAGGCACATCCCCAGCAGGGGGTGTGCAAGAGGCAGCTGATCGATGATTCTCTCTCATCGATATTTCTCTCTATCCCTCTCCCTTCCTCTCTGTAAAAAAATCAATAAAATATATATTTTTAAAAAAAAGAAAAAAAAGAAAAATGTAAAAAATAGAAAAAAAATAACTAATACTCAAATTTGACATTACCACTACAGAATATAATTTCCTCTCCGATCAAATAGAGATTATCCTGATCTCCCTTCTCCAGGCACTTGCAAGAATTAAGTATGATAACCTATTACCTGAGAAGAATAACGTTTCATCGTATGTTGATACCGAGCAATCAGCTAATTTGGCTCACTAGCTACATTCCACATACCCAGACACAAAAGGACCTTCAATTCAAAATCTTAACTAAGCAAATTATATATTAATAATGGAACTTAATGATGTTTGAAAATTGTCAAAGATACAAATGTTAAATGAGAAAATACTAAGTGACTATAATACAGAATAAAATTATTTTATAGTATCTAATTATGAGAGCTTAAAAACGATGAGAAAATTTTTAACTATTACATAAATTGTATTAAATCTAGTAGACTGACTAGAAAATTACAATCACTGCTAACCACTGTTAATTCAAATTGTTATAATTTTATTTATTACTAAGTCAGTGCCTAAATTGTTTTTAAAACCTTAACTGTCTTAAAAATCAGCCAGTGTGGCTCAGTAGTTGAGTGTTGACTTATAAACCAAGAGTTCAAATCAGGGTATATTCCCAGAATTCAGGCTCTATTCCCAGTGGGAGGTGTGCAGTAGGCAGCCGATTGACGATTCTCTCTCATCACTGATGTTCCAATCTCTTTCTCCCTCTCCCTTTCGCTCTGAAATCAATTTTAAAAATTATTTTTTAATCCAATAATTAAAGGAAACTGCTTATTACATAAGCATTCATACCTATTTACTAGTTGGTCAAATAACAAACTCTGGTTCACGCTTTCAAATCTGTTTTTCCTGGAACGGCAACTTTTTCTGACTTCCATGTCACCATTCATACAAGAAAGGTCTCCATCCCCCTTCTTTTCCCCTCGAAGGGGATGGCTTCGAAGGGCTACAAAAAGAGAGAGGATTTTCATTTCAAAGCACAGAGTATAAAAAGAGGGAGAGGAAATCAAAACATTACTTTTAAAAGATCACAAGAATGCTATTTTAAACACTAAAAAGCATTCAATTTTATGAGACAAAAAAAAGTAAAAAATAAAAGATCACAAGAGGTTTAATATAACCTCTTAAATAGCTTTAATATCCAATAATCTAACACTTCTATAAATGCTTACACTGTGTCTTAATAATTTAAATTATTTCCTTCGTACGGATTTTTCAACACTTAATAATTACGTATGTATTTACTGTGACTGAAATCCAGTCAATATTACTGTATGCTGAGCATACTAGTAAATCAATCTATTCACCCACATTAAATGCTTTAGTTCTAACAGCATTAAAAAATTTTCAATACAACCCAGTTTCATAATAGAGTACTCACATAGACTACTGTGTCCGTTTGATAACGTAGCACCAGGCTGAGAAGTTAACCTAGAACACAATTATATTTAATATGCAGACATATCAATATTTATTTAAAGAAGCAAGAAATGCAATACTGCTGGAATCATTTTAATTTTTAAAATGTCAGTAATATAATATTACTTTTTAAAGAGTAAAGAACTTTTTTACTCTAACATTGATAATATACCAATTAATAAAGTATACGGAGTCATTTCGTTACTTTAAGAACAGCTTTAATAATAGAATTTATTGCCGGGACCGGTTTGGCTCAATGGATAGAGCGTCGGCTTGGGGACTGAAGGGTCCTGGGTTCGATTCTGGTCAAGGGCATGTACCTTGGTTGCGGGCATATCCCCAGTAGGGGGTGTGCAAGAGGCAGCTGATTGATGACTCTCTCTCATCGATGTTTCTAACTCTCTATCTCTCTCCCTTCCTCTCTGTATAAAATCAATAAAATATATTTTTAAAAAATAAATATAATAATAGAATTTATTGTCTCTTCAACTGTAAATTAAAATCCAAATAAAAGGCTTAAGTCTAACATGTGCTATAAATTAACTGAGGCCATTAATAGCAATTGTCACAGACATTTACTATTGATTTGGTTGACAAAATAAAACTGAAGCAATAACAAATTTATTCAAACAATAATTTGTAAGGAAAAAACAATACTGAATACCAATACCATATAATAATTTATTAAAATATTTTATTACACATTCTAAACTGACAATAAAAATTAATTTCTCAATACAGTCATTATGTAATTCTCTCTCTTGGGTGGAGGAAGAAAAATGTTAAAGATACTTAAGTGGTCATCAAAACATAAAGACTTAAGAAAACAGTCACCATATACCTAACTATATGTAGAAAGCTCAAAAACTAAATTGTTACAAATAAAAGAGCTGTCAGTATAAAGTTATCAAAGTTTTTTTTTAATCCAACAATAATTATTTTCAAAGGAAAAGAAATAAAAACAAAGGGAGGATATTTAGAAAATAGTTAATATATAGTATAACTATCTTCTACTATTTATGTGGTTTGCATAATTTTTTAACTAAAATATTCTCCTGTTTCTAGTTACTCCGTAGCTCTTTGTGTTAAATCATAAATGTTAAGTGTTATAATTGTTAATCATAAATATCCCTGCCCAATAAAGGTCACAGCTAGGATATTAAAAGATATGAACAAAAACTCAAACTACTATCTGCCTTCAGACAGTCAAAACAAAAACAAAAACTCCAGCCCTCCTTTCCCCCAGAAAACAACAAAATTATATTTTTCTAATATACCTCTTATAAAGTATTTCATTTTTAGCACCTTTGTATACCAAGTACACAATTTTCCTGGCATATGAATTTGAGTATAAAGTAATGAAACTGATGTACTAACAGGACATTCTTTAGATTATACATGTGGGATTCTCTAGAATCAACCTCAAAATCCACTTAAAACCTTGTTTTTAAAGTTTAAAAATTTTAACTTTAAATTTAAATTTAAAAAAAAATTTTTAATCTATTTTATTCATAAATATACTTTGGCTTTGAACCCAACATAACATTACCTCAACCTGATCAATTTATTCACAAGTCTTGGCTCCAAATGAATTTTAGTTGCATGCAAAACTAAGCAGTTATCCCTTGGCCTGCAGACTGAAGGGTCATGGGTTCGATTCCCTGTCAAGGGCCCGTGCCTGGGTTGCAGGCTCAAACCCCAGTTGGGCATGTGCAGGAGGCAGCCGATCAATGATCGCTCTCATCGTACATGTTTCTATCTCTCTCTCCCTCTTTCTTCCTGTCTGAAATCAATAAAAAATATATTTTAGAAAAATTAAATGGTTAAATTATACACACCCTGGACAAATCCAGGCATCAGGCCAGTTTTGGCCAGATCCCCGCAGGCCAGGCTGAGGGATCCTACCGTGCCTCTAGTCTTTAATAATTTTATAAAGGGGACATTTACCTATTTTCAAATAAAAAAGTAATTCTAACCATATGTTCTTTCTTAAACTTTCAGGACTAGCCCAGCTGGCATGATTCAGTTGACTGAGTGTTGTCCCATGCACTAAGAGGTTGCCAGTTTGATTCCTGGTCAGGACACATATCCAGGTTGTGGGTTCAATCCCCAATAGGGGACATGCAGGAGACAGCTGATCAATGTTTCTCTCTCACATCAATGTTTCTATCTCTCTCTCCCTCCCTTCCTTTCTCTCTAAACTCAATAAAAACATACTTTAATTTTTTTTCAGGCCTATACATATATATATATATATATGCATATTTAAGACCTATCAAAATCCAACTGTTTTCATAATAAGTTACTATTATATACTACAAAACATATATTTTATGGCATATTTAGAAAAAATATATATACAGAAATTATACAGTAAATTTAATACAATTTCTAAGTAGTTTTAAATACTAGCAGCTTTACAATTTAAGAAAACTAACATTAACATCAACTCTAAATCACATCCAATCATTCTTCAAAAAATAATCGATGAGTTCTTGCTTCTCACCTGGCCTGTCCAGTTATGTTCCATTCCTCTCGCTGACCAGTACTTCGTGATTTTGATTTGTCTTTGCAAACAGAATCAGGTTGTTTCAAAGTGCGTTTGGCTGGAGGAGACACGTGGCTATCACTTAAACTACCATCAACTTCAGATTTCTGAAAGACAGTGAAAAATGCATTTACTATTAAAGCACACAGAATTGTTAAATTGCATAAAGTACAGTATTCAATCAATAAATATTTACTAATGAATCACTCTACAAGTATAACAAAATGTAATAATCTGTAACTACAGAAACAAAAATTAGAGAAGTATGTTCAGTTGTTTATATTTTAAAGCAGTTTCAAGCCTACAGAAAAGATGTGTGTATATCATTTCATGATATGATATTCTTCTCCTAAATACTCCATCATGTGCCTCCCAAAACAAGGACACTTTGTTACATTAGCATCATACAACCCACCCAATCAGGAAATTAACACTAACATAACCCAGAGCGAATCCAGACACATGAATTTTATCAAATGTCCCAATATGTCTCTCGTTCCCTTCTGGTTCAGGATCCTATCCAGGAACACATATTGTATTTAGTTATCAGATCCTTCTATATGAAACAGTTCTTTAATCTTTCCCCATTTTTTATGACCTTGAGTGTAAAGAGTATAAAGCCTTTCATTCCCAAGGATGAACTTCAATCTGGGTCTATTTGATGTTCCTCATAACCAGATTCAGGCCATATTTTCTTGGAAAGAATATACAGAATTATATTGTGTATACTAATACTATATCTACCCATCATTATCACCTTGATCAGCTGGTCAAGTTGGTGACCACCAGGTTTCTCCACTACAAAGTCTTATTTTTCCCTTTGTATTTCATTAGAGTATGTGGAATTATTCCGATAATTCAGCAATATCCTGTTTTTCATCAATCCACCACCCACCAGCCTTAGCATCCATTGACTATTCTTGCCTTTATTCAATATATTGATGACAATGATTATCTAATCCCATCATTCCTTCTACATTTTTTTAGTTGGCATTCTACTTTATAGAGCTTTCCCCTCCCCACTTTGCCAAATTCATTTACTCATGTATTTATATCAATAGGCACTGTGGAATCTATACTGAGTGGCCAGATTATTATGATCTCTGAACCCATAATAATCTGGCCACTCAATGTATATCCTATATAATAAAAGGCTAATATGCAAATTGTCCCCTCGACCAGGAGTTCAACCAGTAGGCCGGCCAGCCAACCACCCATGTCCCCTAACCCTAGCCAGGCTGGCTGGACCCCACCCACGCACGAATTCATGCACAAGGCCTCTAATTATTCAATTTAAAAAAGTTTTGGTCATTTGGAGCCCTTTTAAAGTGATTCCTGTATCGTTTTGACTTGTCCCCATCATTTTGAATATTTCCTTATTTCTGCCACAAAAGAAATATCTAATCTTGTACTTTCCCTTCATGACCCTAGAATTAGCTATTTCTGCAAGGAGCCCTGGTTCCTTTCAGTCAATGATGGTACCTAGAAACCAACATCTGAGCAATAGGTGCACTCTCTGTTACTGGGGGTTTCACTTCTACTGAGTCCTCTTAGCAGAGAGACTAAAAGATATCCAAAAAAAATGTACACACGTGCACATCTATGCTTATTTATTTATCTGTGCATAAATAACAACAAATGTGTATACACTAATGCTTCTAATTCCACCCCTTTCCTTTTCTGTTTCTAAGCCCTTCTCAGAGAGAAACCTCATTTCCATTATCTTTAACATATATATTTACTTATTTACTTATTTATTTTTAATATGTTTTTATTGATTTCAAAGAGGAAGGGAGAGGGAGAGAGAGATAGAAACCTGGATGAGAAAGATCGATCAGCTGCCTCCTGCATGCCCCTACTGGGGATCAAGCCAAAATCCAGGCTTGTGCCCTCACCAGGAATCTAACCAACAACTTCCTGGTGCATGGGATGATGTTCAAAAAACTGAGCCACACTGGGCCAGGTCATGTATTTATTTTTATGTTCCCTTTCAATTTTTTGAAACCTTCATCTACCATACTTCCATTATTGCCTCCCCAGCTGCATATGCTCAAACTACCAGAAAATCACTATCTGCACAGCAGCTCTCTTCACCAGGCAATTCCTTGGATACTAGGCAGATGGGAAAGAGAGTGGAGGGAAGGATCTTTCCTTTGGAGACAATTTAGTTCATATGCTAAAACTTTATCACTTGACATTTTAGATCAGTATTTCAAAGGAACATATGATCATTTTCAATATAGCACCATATAAAGATATGAGTTTGGTCTCCTTTTATGCTACAATTTTCTTTTTAAAATATATATAAAAACTATCTATTTCATAAATGCAGACTTCCATATCATACTATCCTAAAGCAAGACAACTATATTACTCAAATAATTAGTAAAAATACAGCCTCTAGCAAACAAACATAATACAATGTTTATTTAAAAGTACCCAACTACAGCCTATAGAATTAATTCACTTACTAAAAAAATTTTTACAGAAAGACCAATTTATAATTCTGTGATTTAATACATTTATAATGATCTAGTTTTAAAGCCACAAGACCACACACTTCCTAAAAGGCACAAAGAGAAAAACTAAAAATTCAAATATCAGAGTATCTATTTAAGAATAATAAACATGTTAGTTGTGCCACATGCATCACAACCTATCAGTTAAGTTCCCAAGAAAAACTGGGTAGCTACTTCCAAACTATCCTCAATAGACTACATCTGTCACTCCAAATGTGCTCCACCCCAATCAGAAACCATTTTTGGCAAGATCCCCAGATGATTCTTCCCCACATTAGGATTTGAAAAGCAGCGCTATAACATATTCAACCGGCACTAGGTGAGGAAGCAATGTCATCTGCTCTGAGCTAAGGCATGTCTGTGAACACAAAAACTGATACCTATAAAACTACTTTACCGACTTAAGATATCCAAGCCAGCATTACTCCTTTTAATCAAATTCCACCACTCACTCTTTAAGATCCATCTCTACCCTGAAACTTATCTGAAGAATCTACTAATTGACCTCTCCCCTCTATTAGCTATAACTGTACAATACATTTTGGCAAATAATTATATTCAATTAGCATTATGTATTCAAAACTGATTCTAACAGCCCTGGCTGGTTTAGCTCAGTGGATAGAGGGTCCCAAAGGCATAAGCCCGGGTTTCGGGCTCGATCCCCAATATGGGTGTGCAGGAGGCGGCTGATTAATGATCCTCTCTCACTGATGTTTCCAACTCTCCCTCTCCCTCCCTCTCTGAAACCAACAAAAATAGAATATAAGGAAAAAAATTTAACTGATACTAACAGCTTACCTGGTATTTAAGTGGTATTCAAGATCCAAGTCTTGAGATTCTAGCAAGATTTTAAGTTAATTTTTTTTAAAAATTACTTTCCTCCCCTCCCCCCACCCAGGGGAGAGCAGGAATGCAGCCCCCCACTACTACAAATTATACAATCGAGTCTCTCACACTTGGGGAAATTGCAAGGGTAGCACATCCAGAGTGCTATGGATAAGCTTCACCCTGGGAAAACCACCTTCATGATCATGGACGGTATCTCCCTTGCCAGTTAAGCATCCTATATCTTTTTTCTTTTCTTTTTTAATATATTTTATTGATTTTTTTTACAGAGAGGAAGGAAGAGGGATAGAGTTAGAAACATCGATCAACTGCCCCCTGCACATCTCCTACTAGGGATGTGCCCGCAACCAAGGTACGCACCCTTGACCGGAATCGAACCCGGGACCTTTCAATCCGCAAGCCAAAACTCTATCCACTGAGCAAACCCGGCCAGGCCATCCTATTTCCTTTTAATTCCACACAACAGCAAGCAAAAAAAAAGCAAGATTTTCCCAAATAAAAATTAATAAAATATTTATTATATAACTTGAAACAAGTTGAGTTATTACATGACTCTGATTATCTATTTTAGTGAGTTTATGATTATTGGCCAGTCTCTCATATTCTACTGGCTTTTTTCAGTTCCATTCAGAGCATCTCTCATAGTGTTGTCCTCATACTACCTGAACCAGAAGTCACCTGAATTGCTCACTGAAGAGACATAACCTGTTAAACTAGAATTTCTTGAGGGGAGATTTTTAATGAGGGCCTCCAAATGATTCTTACTATACAAAAGTTTGAGGACCTCTGGCATATAATGCAGTTTTAAGTATGAGGCACATCATCCTAACCGCTGTACTGACTATAGTGCTTCTCTTATGGAAGGGTTTCAATCTTTACTTGGCTCTGTAACAGAAACCTCAGAATAAATAGCATTACAAAGAGATCCCTCCCTCTAAGGAAATCTAGAGACTTAAGTAAAGCAAATGAACAAGATGTACATATGTGCAAAGTGATTACTTCAGCACCATTTTATTAACTTCAAGCTTTGGGAAAGCTTTTACCTACAAAACTGATACTAAAAGCTTACCTTTAATAGGATAATCATAGATTCAACTTTAACTTTTTCATCTTCAAAGAATTTTACTAGTTAATTACAACCTAATCCTTTGAGGAAAGGCGTTACTAGTTTCAAGCCAAAAAATTTAAGAGAGATTTTGCAATCTACCCACAGTCATTTAGCAATCTGTCAGAGTCATTTCAATCCATGAAAAAAAAAGGCATCTCAGACTAAGGGAATAATTTCACTTAACAAACGTTTATTGAGAACCTACTGTGTATATAAGACATGGGACCAGTGGGAAAATAAGATTTAAGACCTATCTGAACTCAATATACAATTTATGGGTTTCACAAAAAGTCACAGTGATGATATATAGCATATTATATTAAGTACTAAAACTATACAATTCTCTGAAAGCAAAAAATTAAAAATAAGGACTGCTAGTAGAGATGAAGGAAAACACCATAAATAATGTGGACTTTATTTCATAACATAATGATGGAGCGAATGGTCAGAGGAACTATAGATAGTACTATACCACTAGTAACAGTGTCAAATGCTACGAAAGTAAAAGTACAATGAAAAGATAGTCATCCAACCTAAGTGACTTTTTTCTCTAAACTCTAATCTTCTAAAATAGATAATTTTTCCAACTTGAAAAAATCATTTTCTCCTCAAGTCTCATCAACTACCACAAATACTGACCACTATTCTACCACAAATCACATACAATTAGACAAAAGACCTTGAAAACAATGAAACAGAAAATTTTATGGTAGGTTTTCAGGGAAGGCTTCATGTCCAGATCAGAATTTGTCAGAAATCCAGAGCCCGGACTTTAATGAAAGACTAAAAGAATATTTCCAAACATAGTATTAAAAAATGAGAAACTGAAGGAAACAAATAAATTAGCAGGCCACTAAATTAATTCAAGACTTGATGGTGGCCTCATCTAGAATTATAAAAGGAGAAAATAAGAAATTGATTCCAGAAAGCAAAATAACTAAGATTTTGGTGAAACCTCTATTCAAATTAAGACAATAAGGCAAGTATAAAAAGTGGTTGATGATTTTTAGTGGGTGTAGGGAAAAGGCAGGGGACAAATGTTTAAGGAAGAAGTGTAAGGCTGAATTCTGATTTTTAAAGTTAGGTTTAGAATTCTAGCCCAAAATCTAGGGAGATGTCTATCAGGTTATAGGAAATGCAGCTCTGAGTAAGATGAGGACTAGAGATATGAAATGGTAATAAAAGAATCATAGGTAATATAAGAATGAAAAAACAAAAAGGCAAAATCTTTTAAAATGCTGACATTAAAGGGCTGAGCAGAAAGGATCTCATATAAACTAAAGAAAAATAGTGTCTCACTAAAACAGGGAGAAGAGAAATTTGCTCCAAAAAGACCAAACAGAAGAACTATAAACCTGTGCACTGGTAATCTACTAAGTAAATTAGTCACTGTACCTTATGATACGACAATTTCTGCAAAATGATGACTGGAAATCACTAGATGAAGAACCGGGTGGTAAGAAAGTATAGGTGATGACCACAGAGTTAGTTTTAGAGGAAGTCTCAGAATTAAGACAATAAAAAAGGTCTAAGGAGGTCACAAAGTCAAAGAAGTCAGGAAAGGATTTCCTTTTGGAAAAGGTAAGATGGCCTGGTTTCTTGTAAACTGAAGAAAATGAGTCAAAAAAGAGATTAAAATAAAATTAAATTTTAAAGAGAAAGATAACTGATGTAAAAAAGATCCTAGGAGAGACAGGAAAAAGAATGAGGAACACTGACCCCAGGCTAGATCAGAAAGTATATGGGTGCAATCAATGTTTCCCAATTTCCTTTATAGAACAGCCTTTTTTAAAAAATAAGCATTCCTGTTGAAAGCTCAGAAGTAGTCAATCTCTTTTTCTTTCATTTGTAAAACGAATGCACAGAGGCAGCAGTTACCATGACTGCAGAAAACGAAACTCTCACTGCTACTTATTTACTCAGGGCCAGTACTATTCTACAAAGTCCTAAAACTCAAGGACACACAATGTCCTCAATTTTCCTCAAATATCACAAGAGTACTGGCTTACTAGTTTAATATATCTAAACAATCATTATTAAAGAATATAGAAAGGGAAAAAATACAAAGAAATAAGCTTAGGCATTGTAAAAAGGTAAAAATAGACCATTATAATTTAAAATGCATTTTTCTTCCTGATAATTTTTTTAATCTGAAAATATCACATAGTTAAAATGAGAGACAGGCAGGCAGGCAGACACAATGTGAGCACTGAAAAATGCCAGGCTTAAAAGTTTGACAGAACCAGTCTTATACTACAGCACTACCATTGTAATTCAAAAATTTACCTCATAAAATTGTTAGAAGAACCAGGTGATGAAGTTATAAATAGATAACCTCAAATAAAGAAACTTGTTTCAAGGCTTTGTAGGATTAATAGTACCTCGTAAGTTTATTAATTATCTTTAGTGATTCATTCCTTCCACAAAGAAAATGCATTAAGCACCTATTATTGTGTAAGATAGTTAAAGCCTAACTCCTTAAATCAACCAGTAAAAGTTATAAAAACTTAGGGTGCTTAGAGTATTGGGGAGTAGGTACATACTGCTTTAATAGTATAATTTGGTAAAACCTGTAAAAATTTAAAATACATATATCATTAATCCAATAATTCCACTTCACCTTAAAGAGAAAGATCACTTCCTACTACATTATAATATTAAAAACAGAGAGGCGCCCTGGCCAGATGGTCCTATACACAAAAGGCTGTAGGTTTGATTCCCAGTCAGGGCACACACCTAGGTTGTGGGTACAGGAGGCAACCAGTCAATGTTTCTCTCTGACTCTAAAATCAAAAAATATATCCTTGGGTGAAGATAAAAAATAAAAAAATATGCGGGCAACCTATACAGAGAACGGCCAAAAGACTGGATCACAGAACGATACAACAAAATATTAGAAAGCCATTAAGAAAAATAGATACTGCCGAAACCGGTTTGGCTCAGTGGTAGAGCGTCTGTCTGCGGACTGAGGGGTCCCGGGTTCAATTCCGGTCAGGGGCATGTATGTTGGTTGCGGGCACATCCCCGGTAGGGGGTGTGCAAGAGGCAGCTGGTCCATGTTTCTCTCTCATCGACGTTTCTAGCTCTATCTCTCTCCCTTCCTCTCTGTAAAAATCAATAAAATATATTTAATTAAAAAAAAAAAGAAGAAGAAGAAGAAGAAGAAAAATGGATACTTAAGAATGTTGCCGAAACCGGTTTGGCTCAGCGGTAGAGCGTCGGCCTGCGGACTGAGGGGTCCCGGGTTCGATTCCGGTCAAGGGATGTACGTTGGTTGCGGGCACATCCCCAGTAGGGGGTGTGCAAGAAGCAGCTGGTCGATGTTTCTCTCTCCTCGACGTTTCTAGCTCTCTATCCCTCTCTCCTCCTCTCTGTAAAAATTCAATAAAATATATTAAAAAAAAAAAAAAAAGAATGTATACAACACACCAAATCCGGTTTGGCTCAGTGGATAAAGCATCAGCCTATGGACTGAAGGGTCCCAGGCTCGATTCCAGGCAAGGGCACATGCCTGGATTTCTGAGGTGTGCAGGAGACAGCTGATCAATGATTCTCTTTCATCACTGATGTTTCTATCTCTTTCTCCTTCTCCCTTCCTCTCTGAAATCAATAAGATATATATTTTTTAATTAACTTAAGTAGTATATAGAATATGATTCTATTTCTGTCAAAAATATACACATATAAATACAGACATGTGTGCAATAGTCTAAAAAGATATACACCAGTTTTAACAGTGTTTATCCCTAGGAAGAACAAACTGGAGGAATTAAGGGAACAGGGGAACATCCTTTTTTTTTTTTTTTATGAACGTCCATATTGTTTGAAATATTTATTTTTTTAAATATATTTCACTGATTTTTTACAGAGAGAAAGGGAGTGCAATAGTCAGAAACATCAATGAGAGAGAAACATCGATCAGTTGCTTCCTGCACACCCCCCACTGGGGATGTGCCTGCAACCAAAGTACATGCCCTTGACCAGAATCGAACCTGGAATTCTGTGTGTGTGTGTGTGTGTGTGTGTATGTGTATATATATATATATTTAATACATATTTTATTGATTTCAGAGAGGAAGCGAGAAGAGAAACATCAATGATGAGAGAG